CCCCCAAAAAAAAAACCCCCAAAAAAGAAGAGCGGAGGGAGATAACGGAAAAGACAAGAAACCTTTCAGAGGTAAATCTTCTAAGGTGGTCTCTATGTTTTCTCCCTTCTTCGCGTTAGACTTCTCCCAATTTTGGATATCGTTCACGGCTGTCTCTAAGCTCAGTCATCTACCCCGTTGATACCTTGGGTTAATCTTACCATCTCTTCTTTTAATTCCTCCGCTACTTAATATTATGAAAATATTTGATTCAAATTCTACCCAGGGTATGCAATGCTTCTCATCTATTCCATTCATCAATTAAGAGCCACGATTTGCACTCCAGTAGATACAGGTTGTTGTTTTATGTGTTGGCGTAATCTTTCTCTTCCCTGATCGACGTTTCTAAGCTATGCAAGCTTCCTTCTTATCCCTCTATCAATCGACGTCCTAGTTGTCACGTTTAAGAAGGATCTTGAATTATCCCTCTCCTGGGTAATCTATTAACTGTCTATTCGCGCAAAGCATGAGAGTAGGTAGGCAATTATCTAGAATCTGGAAAACTACTACACTCCGTCTTGATCAGGCAGTCCCGGCTAGATGTGTCTCATGTTATGGAAGCAAACAAGTACGATCAAGTCTGAGAATCTTGAAAGTCTATCTATTCTCATTGCTGATTTATACATCAGAGTAGAAATACTCTCTAGGTACAAGAAGCAGGCAATAAGCTCGGTTCTTTCAGTCTCACATTATGTATGTTTCATAGGTGCACTAGCACGTAAGCAATCAGTGATCGCGATAGTTCATCCCCTGGCTATCACCCTCCAGGCATTCCCAACTCCTCCTTTTTTGCAAATTCTTTCCTTTCCGCCCATATCAACCACCTAAAACGCCCACACACCTACCCTACTTCGTCATCCTGGAAATAAATGGATGCTTCAATGCATCCTGTGGTGTACACCTCTTCTCTGGATTGAGCGCGAGACATCGGTCCAGCAAATCAGCAAAAAGGGCCAATTCCTTCGTCTCCACATCCGTCAAGCCTTTGCTTGCAGACATCAGACGGGTTCGGAGATCGCGGGTGGGCTTCGTGAATGCTAGAATTTTGACTGTATCCTATTTGTGGCAGGTTAGACATGTTCCTGTCCATTCATTCTTCTGATAACTTGAAGGAAGAGAAGCAGGTGATTTATTTGTAATTTGGATGAAGGGCAAGTAAGATAGGCTGAAGATGCAAGAATGTCATCAATGCTACATGCTTTGCTGGTGGTCAAGGCTAATAAAAACAGATTTACGTACCTTTCCCGTAACCTTGTCCTGCTCAACGCTCCTGAAGTTGGCCATCTCATCAAAGTGGATATGTGCAAATTGGGCACGTTTCAGCATTTTAGTCGTGAATTTACCCCTGCACTCCATGATTGACCGGAGCATTTGGTTGTTGGTGCGGCCCGTAAATAGGATCTTGCCTGTGTAGAGTTCGTAAAGTGTACACCCGACCGACCAAACATCGATTGCGAAATCGTAGGGCATGCCGAGTATAATCTCTGGAGCACGGTAAAACCGACTAACGAGATAGGGCGTAATTTCATTCTCAGAAGCATCGGATGCTGATCCTAGATCACAAATCTTGAGCATGTTGCGAGTTTCATTGACCTATCGGCAATTAGTATTGTCTTGGGTCTGACCCAAACGGAGGCTTACCAAAATATTATCTGGTTTGAGATCTGCGTGCAGAATGTTGCATTTTCGCATCAGACTCAGACCAAGGAACATTTGCTGGGCGTAGGCTCGAACAGCCTTGAGGTTGATGCCCACATCACGTCCGAACTTCTTCAGGACCTCACGGAGGTTGATGCTGAGATTCTCGAAGACCATGCACAAGTGTTGTTTATGTTCGAAATGTCTTACCAATCGAATCATATGTTTCTTGTCTTCGGGATCTGCTTCGTTGAGCTTTTGAAGGATTTCAATCTCTTTCATGCCAGCCTTGCGCCTACGTGAGGTCAGTGTGACTTTCCCCATGCGTGATTGTACTGACTTACATTGTTTCATTGTTTCGGATAAGCTTGATCGCAACCAGTTTCTTCGTAGTCACATCCATCGCTCGGACGACCCCAGAGAACATACCTTTACCAAGGTTTGCCTGGACATGGTATCTGCCATTCAGCAGCTCTCCCAAGATAATCTTATAATAACCTTCGGGATCATCCCAATTATCAAGCATTCCGATATCGAGTTCCTTCGCTTGCGGAATAGGCACGGCTTTTGCCCCTTCGTCAAGATGATCATTCGGCTTGCTATTCGGAATGGGCTCCTCGGCAAACATATCGTCATCATCTTCTGCGAACATGTCGAAGTCGTCTTTGGACTTCCTCGGCTCCTCTTCGACTGGTAGGGGGTCAGCAGGGAGAAGCACATCTTGTTCGGTGGTCGGTTTGGTCTCATCGTAGGCTACGGCAGAAACCTCCTCATTGTGTCTCTTGTCGTCCCGCTGCTTGTCTTCTCTCATATCCATGGTAGGATCATAGTCAGCGGCTGATGGTCCATCATCTTCAGCATCGCCTGCATCCCCCTTCTTATTTACTAGGTCTTGATCGTTTGTAATCGTAAAATCTGCCGGTGAACCAGGACCTCGAGGGGTATCTGGAGTCGAGACGGATGGCGACTCTGCCCCTGGTAGTTGCTTAGCACAGTATTATAAGACCGAGTGAGACACTTACTTGATCGAACAGGCGTATCGCTATCTTCAGACTGATTGGCTGACCTGTCTCCAAGCTGCAAGGCCTGTACTAATAAAGGAGCCGCAGATCCTCTGTACTTGGCTTTGATCGCCTCGCGACGTCTTCGTCGTTCTTCAATCAGCGCTTCTTCATCGACGGGTTCAGGATCGGGTTCAGGAGCTTCAATAGCTGCTGGCTCGGCTGCACTGCTTGACCTGGGAATCCGTCAATATAGCCCCAGTGATTAGACCGAAAATCGGGGAGACTTACTTTTCTGGCTCAAGCGACTTAGTATGTTGGTCAGAAGGCTGCTGTGAAAACCCTTGCATAGTTTTAGCCTCGTGTCTTGCGTTATCAGCTGGCAGCGGGCTTTGTCCCCGTTTTCTCACTGACTGGTCCTGCACATCCCGATTTCTTACGTCTCCACGACCATAAGGGTTGGATCTGCCAGTATCATAACCATTGTACCGATTCTCATCTCTACGTGATTGCCCACCATGTCCATTCCTGTCCCCTCCTCTACTCGATCTGTAGGGCGAGCGACTCCGAGTCCGTGGTCGTTTTTGCGAGTATCTGTCTCGTTCGTCGTATCGGAGCTCGGGAATTGGGGCAGAGCCTCGATCTATGTCTTCGTAGGATACTCGGGGACGGTGCCTATACTCTGCAGAGACGTCTTCGTAATGAACCTTGAATCTTCGTGGGTCTCCTCGGGATCGGTCCGGATAGTCATCATCTCTCGTTCTCTTCGAGCCACGAGGCTGTCGATCTGAATACGGAGACCTGCTCCTCTCGGAACGCCTTCTGTCCTTTGGCCTATATCCGTGTTCGGGAGACATCGAATTTGAGTTACTAGATCGGTTTCTGTCTTGACGGTCAACCACAGTGCCATCGAATTGAGGCAGCGTCGTAGTTGCCTTCTCTACACCCCTATCACGAATCTCCCCCTCATCAGAGCTGGCTGAAGAAGCCATGTTGCCTGCTGTGCCTTTTCTGTACTCAGACGGTAGAATCCCCTGCCTTATGGTGGTAGAAAGTTGGGTTAGCCAAGGATCAGAATGCACGATCTCAATGTGAGAAGAGCCCAACCGGGTATCTATCGTCTCTTGTAGAGCTTCAGCGCATTATTGATGGACGAGTATCACACAGAGACGACGGTGACTGAAGCCGAAGCTATTATCAGGAGAGAGTGCGGAGGTATCGATGGTAGTCGTCGTGGTGTTGCATGACGGCAAGGTGTAGGTCTGATATTTGAAGTTGCGAAAAGAGAGCTAGACTATTTTGGCTCTAGCGCAGAACGGTCGAGGCGCAGACAAAAAACCTCGAAATCGCACAAGGAACCCCACCAACCCTTCACGAACATCTCCGCTCGTCAACTCGCTCACCATCCACCTGCTGCTCTTGCGCATCTCAAACTTGAATATCTCCGACATCAAGCTACATAATCAACATGGGTGGAGTTGACAGAGCAGGTAAGCCGAACCCCACATTTTCAGCCTGATTCAGCCCACTAATACCAGCCAACAGGAGGCAAGGCGAAGCCACTGAAAGCGCCAAAGAAGGCGGCGAAGGAGTTGGATGAGGAGGACAAAGCATTCCTCGAGAAGCAGCGAGCTGGTGAGTTATTGGCTCACAGTTGCTAGATCTGTCTTTTCCATACTGACAACTATTTCTACCAGATGCCAAAGCCAGGGCTGAGCTGGCGGCAAAAGCCAAGGGTTCAAAGGGTCCTCTCAACACCGGTGCTCAGGGCATTAAGAAGAGCGGCAAGAAATGAATAAGCTAGAAATATGCAGAGATATTACGTGTTGACATGACCACGGTCGGAAAGCATGGTGAATTTGGCGTTGGTGGATTTCGATGATGGGAGCCCTGGCTTGATACTGGCAGAAACTCTGAGTTTATATTGGATGACCAATATACAGGCTTATTTTGACGCAGTCTATTTCTGCAGATGTGAAAATCGGCATGGAACCATCTCAGAACGACTTTAGAACGTTCAATGTGGAGTCGCTTCGAAGGGTTCTGAGGTTGAGCTTGGAGCGACCGGAATCTCATCCAGGCATAGGGAGGACCTATACATTGTGGACGGATATTCATTGAGGGTTAATATATTCGCCAAACCAAAGATGCACCTATGCTACGATTCTAACCCCATCATTTCAACCGTCGGCTGATTTTCCTCGGTGACTGAGTCTTCTCTCTGGATCGTCGTTGGTCGTGTAATTCTTGGTAGATTCATACTCTATGCCTTGACCCTCTCTCTGAAGTCAGGTAGTATGATGGCTTGAATGTTAGATAAGATGGCCCTAAATTTGGAGGCTGTCTATGTACCTGGGTCCTATATGAGCAGATAGCCGATCCCTTCCCGGGGTTGTTGTTCAGCCTTGCCCCTAAAGTCTTTAACCGCGGAGGGCGAGGCTACGACAATCCCAAAGCCTCGGCTCATGATGGACCGGGATCAACTTCCCCACCACAGCTTGTCGGAACAACACTTTAAATCACTGACCTGTATGACCCTTTGCCTTCGACGATTGCTATTCTTTGCTTCCATCCTAGTTTTTCGTATTGATTCAATCTGATCATATATCTTCTCACTATGGCATCCCGCGCAGCACAGATTGCAGGCCACTTGAACTGGCCTCAAGGCATGCTTGCTGGCCAAGTAGCTATAATCACAGGTTCGGGTCAGGGCATTGGCGCCGAGGCAGCCCGTCTTTTCGCAAATGAAGGAGCCAAGGTCATAGTATCTGATATCGATGGAGGTGAGAACCTGCCGACTTTAATCGCGCATCAATGCTCACTATACACCAGCCAAAGCACAACTGGTTGCAGACAACATCAAGAAATCCGGAGGCCAGGCCATTGCTGTCCCAGGTGATGTGCTCGATGCCGAATATCTCAAAGACCTCGTAAAGAAGGCCGCTGAATTTGGGAATGGCAAGATTCACATTATTGTGAACAATGCAGGGTCAATTTCCCCCTCCACATCGTTAAGCTTATGCTGACATTGCACAGATATACCTGGGACGGCGTAATCCACAAGGTAGAGCATCTCCAATTTACTATGGGTCTGCGCTATTTGGCAGATGAATGGGAGATGCTGGATATAGATTTCTCCGCGTACGAAGAAGCAGATGCTGATCCGGTTTTTGGGCCATCAGATGACAGACAAGCAATGGGACAACATTATTGCACTGCATAATACAGCGCCCTTCAAGCTCGTTCGCGAAGCTGCCCCCTATTTCCGAGTTACAGACGGCGAGCCCCGCTGCATCATCAACATCTCGTCCACATCAGGCGTGCACGGCAATGCCGGCCAAGCCAATTACGGCCTCGCAAAATCGGGGATCAATGGGTTGACTAAGGTTATTGCGAAGGAGTGGGGTCCGAAGTTTGGCGTTAGAGCAAATTCGATTGCTTTTGGACATATTTTGACGAGGTTGACAGCTGCAAAGGAGGAGGGTGCATTTGTCACAACGCCGGATGGGGAGAAGGTTGCTTTGGGCATACCGGGAGGTAAGGGTGCTTTGGCAGCAAATGCACATGCAGATATTCCTCTGGGGAGACCGGGTACAGCTACCGAGGCGGCGAGGAGCATCTTGGCTGTTGCCAGCCCATTGTTTAGTTATATCACTGGGCAAGTGCTCATGGTCACGGGTGGTAGAAACATGTAGGGAATACACAAATTGTTTGTTTTTCTGTATTGCTCTCCGTGTAAATAACGGCAAACATCTAAGCATTTCGCGGGCTCTAAATCAATAACAGTGTTGTCTAGTTTTCTCCAATTGTCATCTGTTTGTGTTTCAGTTGCTAATACTCGAAACCTTCTATCATTTTGAGCGCTTTGATTTCTGCTTGTCAACAGATTAATCAATCATTCGAACTGCATGATGATTTAAGTAAGCACAGATGATTTCTGTTCTTCATTCAGTGACCTCCCATGGTCTAGACATACTTACATATCACCACCCTTATTCTCCAAGACCTGGATGCTCATCCTTCATTCTATTCCTCCCTTCAATACCATCCCGATACTTGGGGCTCGGCCCTCTACCATTCTTGCCCCCCATCTTTGTATATTATTATCAGGAGGAAAAAAGAAAAGAAAAGAAAATAAGAACGAGCTTTAGTTGTCTCCCGTAATATTATTCTTTACTACCATTCATTCGTACTCTTATCAGTGATCACGAAGTATAACTTCACAGAACCCTCTATGGCTTTCAAACTAACATGCAAAACCACCAAATCTCCGATTGAAAGCCACTACTGTAGTGGGTAGATTAATAAGGTAGACATATTTTAGCTAGGTGCTCGCTTAGAAAAGGGGCTCGCCTGACCGCCTGGGCTATCTGTTGACTTTACATCCTTCAGCCACCCGTGTAAACAACTTAAAAGCCTTGTGATCTAGATTCTACAATGTGTTGCTCAAAATTCAACTGTTCAGCAAGATGAATAGCAAAGACCCAACTGCGGCGTCGAGTGACAGCTCACCTCCCGCATCTGCAAAGAAAGAAAGGGTGCCATGGAGCGCTGCTACACGTTACAAATCATCAGCGCTCCCTGCTTCTTATCCAGATTATGGCCCACTACCAGAGCATCAAATACAAAGCAATCGCGTTGCGAGCAGTCCGATAGCTACACCCGCGCCACCTAACTCGACCGCCCCAACTGCGACGTCGGGTGACGGCTCAACTCCCGCACCTGCAAAGAAAGCAAGGAGGCCATGGAGCGCTGCTACACGTTACAAATCATCAGCGCTGCCTGCTTGTTTTCCAGATTATGGCCACCTACCAGAGCATCAAATACCAAGCAATCGCGTTACCGCGAGCAATCAAATAGCTACACCTGCGCTACCTAGCTCGACCACTCTAACGGGCCCAATGAAAAACACCTCTAACACTAGGGGGCCTGATTCTCGATCTAACAATAATAGCTACTCAGTAAACAGGCGAGCTGAAGATCGAACTTCAGAATACAACATGCCGGCAAGGTCAACTGGTAACAACAACAGGAGGACGAACAACTACAATCAGGAACCTAACACAAGCGATCACGGCCTTCCTAGGCGGCCTGAATGGTCCGAGAATAGATGGCCTAGCCATTACTCTTTATCTTCTCGCACACAGAACTTGAGACACCACAACTATAATAAACCTTCGAGTGCCTGTTCGCCACCCGCATTGTTGAAGCATGCTGAGCTGTACAACCCTTCCCCAAACCCCACATCCTCTCAAGTAACTAGATACGGTGATCCAGGATCAAATTTGTACCAGTCTCCAACGTCTCAACAAGCTGGTTACGAGTCTAGTTCTGCAAATACTTCTCAATATTCATCGTCCCAGATCCGTCAAGCTACTTCTCAACATCCCGACCACTACACCCGACCTGCAAACGAAAAGCCTACATCTACGTCATTCCAATCCGCTGGGCTGTCTAATTTAACCATACAGTCTCAGTCTTTTGAACAAACATTGTCTCAGATAGATAGGGCAGCGTCCTCAAAACGTAAGGCTACATCTCCCCAGCCAACTATAGAAGGCAACCCGGCAGTGAATTCAAAACGCCAGGCTATATCATCTAAGTCAGGTGAGGACAACAAGCAATCTATAGCATTGACGCCGCAACCTCCTACTGCCGTTCCTGATGCAAAACTGAGGGAAGGCGTCAATTTTGCGTAAGTCCATTATAATCTATCCTTCGGCATTTGAGACTCGTTCTCATCCATTAACCTTGTGCTTTTTGAGACCGAGCTAAACATTCTCAGCATTCCGCAACCAATGGTGACCGTACTTGTTGGATCGGGAGCCAATCTTGCTAAATTCTTCCTCCACAAGAGCGCGACCATACAGTCGCCCTTCTTCGACAAAGCTTTCCAAAAAGGACCCAAGAGTTTCATCGAACGTGATAATCAGACTATGGAATTGCCTGATGTTGAGGTTCCAATCTTTGGAGTTCTTGTGAACTGGCTCTACACACAAAAGGTTGAACTGGCCGACGATCGACCCTTAACATTGCTGGAGGCTGCCAAGCTGTGGACCGTCGCGGGTAGATGTCTATTCCCCACCCTCCAAAACAAGGCCATGGAGTTGGTAGCGATCAAGTTGTGCAGCGTAAAGGATGGCGAGCCGACGGAGGAAGAAATGAAGGAATTCTGTCACTATGCTTATGAAACCGAGGAGTATACCCTCCTGAAGAAAATGGCAGCTGAGCAGATGACCAGAGTCGTTAATGAGGGTAATATAGATAAGTGGCTGAAAGAGTTCCCGATGGCTATGAAGGATGATTTCACCAAGGCTCTTGTCCGGGAACTTGCCGCAGTTCCTGATCACAAGGTTATAGGCCACTCCTTACTGAAGTATTTTGTAGAGGAGGTGAGTATCAAGAAAGAGGAGATATAAAGAAAGGGCTCTCACAATGGTTGACGGTCGAGCAGTCCGAATGGGACATTCGTGTGTAGAGGGGTCTTCGGAGGATATTTTACCTTTCACACATGAATTGTATTGAATTAATGTCTAGTAGCATACAGATTCTTGAAAGGTACCTATGAGTTCCCTCTTGGGACAATGGATGGAACTAGATGTTGAAGTGGCCGAAGAAATACGAATAATAAACAAGCAGAAAAACACAGACAGAGTACTACGAATAACTAATTATTGTACAACAGATCAGTTTCAGTCCTTCTTGGGTGTTTTTATCATGTTCTGACTTAGCTTTACATCGTCTTATAACCTACTCTATTAGAAAAGCCAAAACTACCTCCCTAGAGTCTAGGTACGTGACATTCAAGTTTCTGTAAGGAGAATCTGAATAGTGGCATTATCCTTACAGACAGTGTTGCAAATATCAACTCCTACTCCATGGTAGAAATCATTTGCCTTCTCATTATAGCGTGTTTTAGTCCTTTTTCGATCCCTCATTTCTCTTTGTATCTCGGATTCAAAGATTCATTAGCAACAAACATGGCACAACCACTTCTTATTCACTAGAATCATTCGAGTCTTATGTCTATCCTTTCTTCCTTCATTCATTAGTAGTCATAAACCTTGTGATATCGTCGTTTACTAGACGTTCTGTTGTCAATTACCACTCTGTTGCCAACCTGTCATTTACTTTCCTGTTGTCATTTATTATTCCGTTCAATCCATTGTCGTCTATTAATTCTGTTGTCGTTTACTTTTCTATTATTCTTCTTGGGTTGACTTACAGTAAAGAGAGACAGAGGCATCCCTTGTGAACTCCCGTTGCCTGGTCACCCTGGTGTATGTACGCAGAAGGCAACAGGAGTTACCTCTTATTTGTACCTTGGACAGTACGTCTTCCCATAGATAATTGTGTGGTATCTTCCAAGTTGATCTCTTTAATAGTTCGTCAAGTCTAGGGTGAGTTTGAAGACTCGTTTCTTGATTTTTCCATATCCGGCTGTCATTACCGTTTTTCATCCTCGAACGACTATAAGTACCCGAAATTCATAGAACATTCTGTACGTTCAAAGAAAATAATCAAGAAAAAGGTCTAAGAGGCTCTTCTATTCTAATATTAATCTGTGTCTAGAGTTGGAAGAAAGCTTCTGTAGTAATTTGTAATCGGGCTCTATAACAGAAAGTCCTGATAGAGGTCCAGCAAAGACTTCATAAGTTATATAGACTCTTCTTTACCAACCCTTAATGCGGTGCATATTTATTTGAACATCAACACCAAACAGTCAATATTGGAAGGTCTCAACTTACAGTGAAAATCACGACGCAAAAAGGTATAATAAAGACTGGAGGATTCCCGAGAGATCGAGGGATTTTTGCTGCTCTTCTTGATAGCTCGGGTCAAATAAATTGTTACTCCAATTCAAGGGTATTATGAATTTGATAGGCAACAATGATGAAGGATTTGCCTTGGATTTTGAACGCGCGACTGTGTGTTTTTCTTGTATGCGTGAGAATCACATGATCGACCCCCCTTTTCAACAACGCCGCAGCACGCGCGTAGGTTTTGAGCAAATTATTCTCCTGCCTCAAATTATACCCCGCAGCTACTTATGATTTGGCTCAATTTGTGTTTAAACTTGTTTCACTGTCACCGTTTGTAATTCGTTGATTTCCATTTTCACTGCTTCGTTGACTGCGAGCAGTGTGAGGCTCGATCGCGCTTGGCCTTTCTATATTTCGCACTTCCGTCGCTTTGTGTTTAGATGAAGACTCTAATATTCTAGTTTACGTAGTACCATGGATATCTCATTTTGAATGTCCTTTTGCCAATTGAAACAATTCTTTAATATTCTCGGACGGTTGAGATTGAGATCATATAATCCTGAACTCGAAGATCTGAGCATGACCCTCCTCGACGAGCTTTAACCAGAGTTTGAAACATTGGCTATGAAGTCGCCAAATCAACAGAGAGCCATAAAGACTTAAGTCCCTCACTTTCAAAATACTTCCTCCACCTGCTAACAAGATTCTTCTTGCACTAGAACAAAAGGTGAGGTTGCGTTCGGGCTGTCATTTTTCATTCGCAGTGTCGACTCTCGAATAATTCACCTAGGTACCTAGAGGTAGGTGCTCGACGGAAAACCTTCTCTTATCGATCTTCAACGAGACTCTCCCAACCTATCTTCCCATTACAACAAGACCATCAAGCCCCACCGACTACCCACACCAATGGCACCCTCAGGCTATTCTTGGGCCAAACCAGGTCCCTCAAGAGCTGCTCGGAAAGTGCCAAGCTTCACGTATGTACTGCTGTGAACACCAATTCTAACCACTGGTGTATCATTTTCAGCTTTGACTAATGAATGCCATAGTGCGCCGAACCCAGCCTTCGTCACTATTCTTGTCGGAAAAGAGGAGTCCAAATTCGTAGTCCACAGAGACCTCATGTTTCATTATTCGACCTTTTTCAAAACTGCGTTCGAAGGTCCATTCGTCGAGCATGAAACGCAAACTATGCGACTGGAGCACGTTGAGTCTAGGTTGTTTGGGGTATTGATACATTGGCTGTATACGAAAGAGATCAAATACGAAGACGATATCCTTTCAAGCAGCATGCCAATGCAGGGGGTTTCACTTGCACCAATTTCCAACTCTAATGGGAAGAGAGTAAAGAAAGAGCTTCTGATGGCAATGCTCTGGATGCTTGCTAAAACCTGCAATGTCTACGAGTTACAAAATGAGGTTATGGGACTTCTTTACACACTTGTGAAAGTCCTCACTCTGGAAAATATCACGCCGCTGATTTGCTACGCATATAAAGATGGAGAACCGACAGCACTCAAACGACTACTCATTCAAGCTGTGGCCTTGTCTCCGGATTCAGCCAAGTTTTTACAATGGGTGGATAACGCAACTGAAGAAGTCACTAAAGATCTTGCGAAAGAACTCTCGAAAATGCTTGGAGACAGAGCCGATCTTTCGATCGGACGAGTACAGGATTTCTGGGTAGAGGTGCCTTGAAGACGAGAAATCAAACAAGATGCTGACGGTAGGGTGAGTCGAACATCAAAATTCAAGATACACCCCTGACATTTAAACAGCTTGCGTATCTGAAGATTGACGATGTACACGGAAATCGCTTATGGGGATCTGGCAGAGCCTTGCTCGGAGTAGGACAGGAAATCAGGTAGAAAATGGACACTATACACTCAGATTACCAATCCGAAGTTAAAGCCAGAACCATGACTCTCTAGAAACAAATGATAGGTATAAGTATCTGGTGTGAATTCCCCTCCCTGAATTCCCCTCTTAAGGACCTTGAACCATTGCTCCCCGGCCATCTCTCGAGTCTCCCCTAGATAAATAAGTATAGATATTGACTCCCTCCCGGACATACAGAGACTCAGCGAAGTCGATGTCTTGTTTGCATATCGGGACACAAATGAACTGATGCACTAATCCCACGAGCCAGCCAGCCGGCTAGCCATGCGTACCAAGTATTTGATCAGATTGAAGATTAAGTTGCAAGTGTGTTTCTGAGGTCTGCCGGCGACAAAGTGATCGAACATGCGAATGGAGGAGTCAAGACTCGGGAAGATCTGGAGAATAAGCTTCTCCATTGAACAGTAAGGCCATAATTACCACGTCTCATCTATAAGACGTATAAATGCTACATACAGGCAGGTACATACCTACCGAAGGACCTGCTAAGTCCAGGCTTGCAAGCCGCAAGCACGCCATGCGCTGTCTCTGTATATATAGTACTAGACCACTGCTCTGCGCAGCCCAGATGATGCTCGAAAAAAATACAAGAATTGGGATATGATGCTATTTATGCACAAGCCAGTCCCGGAACGCCTATACGCCTCTGTCCGTGCCCGTGTTGTCGGGTGCGGGTGCGGGAGGGCCGCTCCGCCAATTAAGCACCATTACGGTGTCGCGGCCCTCGCCCTCGCCGCCCTCTTTGAAATATATCTGCCGGATGACCTTCTCGCCCGGCGCGCCTACCTCGCTGCCATCGACCGACATGGAGTCCAAGAGCTTGTAATCCACCTTCTGTTCCTCACTCAGCCGTTCACGCGTCGGCGCCAAGGAGTGCAGGACGTTGATTTCGTCGGCCCATGTCTCCTCCATCAAGTCGAGATCCAGCTTGTCGACGGTGCCACCGATGGTACCGGGTCGCTTTCCCGAGAGGTGTCCCTCGGGATAGGCGGCGATGGAGAACCCGTTAGAGAGGACGAGATCGTGCTGAAATTGCCAGCGTTGCAGAAAACAACTGTCGCAGATGTCGGCTACGAGGTGCATCTTCTCCATCTCCAGTTTGTAGCCGGCAGCCGACCCCTCTTTCCAGTGGTGCAGGGACAGGATCTCGCGTCCTGACTCGTAAAAGCCGGACAAATCACCGTGCATATCTACCTGATGCAGGCTAGGGACATGCGTGAGTTTGGTGGGGGAAAAGCGGTATACACAGTCCATGATCGAGACGTCGCCCGCGGTGGTGCGCAGATTCGTCTTGCACTCAGCAATATGCTCGTCTATTATTTTCGCCATCGGCAAGGAGAGCATGACTCCTGCGCCGCCAAAAGCCATGAGGCCGTAGTGATTTACTGCCCACCAATCCTCAGATAGGCTCCCTATGTAATGAGGTTTCTGCCAATCATGTTGCTCCAGCATCTTTTGTAGGTTAAACATGGAAGGGAAGAAGGTATCGTCGTCGATGGTAACAATCCATTGTGTCTTGTCGTCTCGGGCTCGGTACATCACATTCACAAGGGAGACATAGCGTTGGGCGAAGGTATCAGAGGCTACGACTGGGTGCAGAATGTTGATGTTGATGCCCTGATTCCGCATCTGCTTTTCCAGGATCCTCATCTCGTTGTTATCGGCTCGTGCTTCATGGTTGTCGCGAATATCGATCACAATTGCGTACAGACGTGCGCCGGTATGAGGCAGCCACCGAGCCAGGTGCTTGGCAGTGTCTCTGAGTCGACCGATCGTCGTCTGCAGGCCGAAGATCATGTTCGATGCGTCGACGGGCATCATTGAACCCTGGGGGACTTCGAGCTCGAGGGGAGGCAGACAGCGGTCAGAGCGCAGGGTCTGCGACTCTGCCAAATTGACCGTGGCGAAGGATTCGAAGAGAGGCTGGTCCACGACCGTCAGCGAGGGTCGCTGCCCGTCCGCCCGTGGTCGCGCAATGATGTCCCGGGACACATATTGTATAGGCGAAGTGAACTGGTAGGGCTCAAGCCAGCCCAGGTGTTCGATGCAACTCGACGGCTTGGGGCCTTTGGGGGTCGTGGAACCCGAATGGAGTCTATCGAGGGTGGTTCTCAGCGAAGCATCGTCGTTGAGGTAATAGGGTAGTGGTCGTGCGGCGAAGAAAATGAACGTAAAGATGGTGGCGAAGACGACAAGAAGAAAGATTCGTCGAGGAACCATGATCCGGCTACATAGGTAAGGGACCGTGAGATGGACACTCAGGAGGGGGAGGAGGAGGGGAAGAGAGAAGAGTCGTGGATGTTGGAAGGGAGAGAAGGGGTGACTTGAAAATGAGATTCTGGGAGAGGGGGTCAAGGCTTGCTGGGATTGGCTAGATAAGGCATGCTGAATAAATCCTTCCCCGTATTTTAAATAGACAATCTCAATCTAAGGATTCGAATATAAGATGGAAATATCCCTCCCTATACGTAAATTCTAGAGAGGCGCGGAGAAATTCGAGAGGGACCTCGGCGACACCGTGCCTTCACGGGTAAAAGGGTACATGCATGTACCTTGGGATGATGGGAAGACCATTCCGTCTTGTCTGGTGGCGAGAGACTTCGGAGGAAAGGCGCTCGCAATCGTGGTTAGAGAAGGTAGAACGCCTGGACAGCAGCGTGTCCAGAGCCCAAAGACGGCGCTACTATCGGGACTGAAAGCTGCAAGAAGGCTGAAATAATCTTTGCGGGTAGATTATTGATTCAGATGTCTCTGCTATCAGGCTTCTTTTCTCCTTCGAAGAATTATCCGTTCTGGGTCTAGCGCCGTACATATATGCTAGCCTCGGTCCCCTCCCGCAAGGCACATTTTGAGCCTCACTTTCCGTTGACGACATTCAGCCACTGTGAACCAATATGCGGCAAACACACAACATGATGCGAGCATCGAGATGAACTTAGGATTCTCTCGCGATTTATTTGAAGCTCATCCCCCACAAACCTCAGGATGACCTCTATTCCATCTCAAGCCTCTCGAAGGCGCTCCTCCCTAGAACAAACGGCCGAACCCCTCCCGCAAGGCCCCTCGTCGCAACCAGAATCAAGTCCCGAAACCTTCATTCTTAATACTCAACCCGTCTCTTCAGAACCTACTTCCTCCGATATCCCATTACACCAACCCCCCCAAACACCGACGCAAGAGCCCCGTCGCTGTTGGATCTGCCAACAAGATTCTACTGAAGATCCCCCTGATACAGAGTGGCGCAACCCATGTCCTTGCTCCCTTACCGCACATGAGCAATGCCTCCTCGAATGGATCACATCCGAAGAAGCCCCTAGACCTGGCGAATTAGCTTCCACTCGCCATATCGTCTGTCCACAATGTCATACCGAGATTCAGATCGAGCGACCTAGAGATTACCTAGTCCTGACCGTGGAGGGTATACAACGAGTAGCAAAGGTGTTGATATTACCTACGGCACTCAGTTCTGTGTTTGCATGTTTCTACTCGGGATTCTTGATGTATGGAATCAATACATTGCAAATGGTGTTTGGACGTGACGAAGCATATCAGATTATAGCGTTGTGGGGAACGCGCGATTTACAAGTTGCAAATCAGATACAACCGGACCAGAGTGGATTAAGTTTGCATACGGTATCAAGGTTTTTGCGGAGGGTATCGATGAGCTTTGATCCGTTTTTGCCATCAGCAGATTTCATCCCGCACTGGAAACTCTTTGTTGGCCTTCCGTTAATTGCCCCTTCACTCATACTTTCGAGAACGAGACTTGCGGAACCATTCTTTGCTACCATCCCTGTTACTGTGCGTCTATTTTCTCCCCCTATGAAATTTTCATAGCATTAACAGTTTTGTAGTACCTCATCTTCCGTCCCTCCAGCTACATCCGTCTTCAAGAATGGCCCCCATCGCCCGCAGCAACCATCGCAATCATTCCTTACCTCCACGCCTTCTATAACGAACTCTACCGATATACCTTTGGCGATCTCGAAAGGAAGTGGGATGCCGCAGTCCAACGCAGGCCTCGCGATGGCGAAACCGCGGAAGAAATAGCTCGACAACAGAATGGAGGTGATGGCGATGAGCTCTTTGATCTGGAATTGGAGTTTATCAATGGTGATCCAGATAACATGGACCCAAGGGATGTCGAAAATCAAATACGCGCCATTGCTGATCGAAATCAGGCAGCTGGTGGTGAGGTAGCAAACCCCCAGGAGCAAGAAGGTCCCTTAGCAGGAGGCGTCAATCAACCCGAATTACAACAAGGTCGGAACGGCAACAACCTCGGATTCCGGCGCAATATTTCTGCATCGGTCGTAGCCAGCACAGTCATGGGCGCTTTATTCTTCCCCACCATTTCCTCGATCATGGGCGACCTGCTCAAAGTGACACTGCCAAAGGACTGGGTAACGAAAAAGAGCATTGGGGCCGGTGCCAAGGGCCTGCTCCAGGAAAAGTGGGGAAGAAGTATCGTAGGGGGTTGTCTCTTTGTGGTGTTGAAGGATGCATTGGTGCTCTATTGCAAATGGAAGAGGGCGAGGGACTTTGGAAAAAAGAGAGTTCTGGACTACGTAGGGAGGAGGAATGGTCAGGCTAGTGCATGAGCAAGGAATAATGGAGATATGTAGACGGTATTAGGAGTGATATCGTTGAAGCGTGGTGAGGCACACAAAAGGGTGTGTAGATTACCTATGGTTCGGTATGCCTCAAGACCAGGCAGTTCCCTGGTTCGAGACTGGAAGTTCTCGATGCGCGGCGTTGCGGTGGACACTGATACAACTATTGAGCATTTCTCTTTGAGGCCACGAATTACTAAGTGGATCTCCTCCACATGCTCTAAGCATAGTTGCAATCCCAACATCCTCTCTCCCGGGCCTGAATCGAGGCACCGTCTCTTCACGTTTTGGTTCACATGATGCGAAGGATACGCTAGGGTTTGAGTGGCTTCATATAGTAGCAAAGAGGCATCGATTGGTAAGTGAGTTCTCTCTTTACCAAAACCCTTCTACGATCCATTCACCACGCTACCCTCGGCGGACATCGCATCTCTCAAGTGACTATATCAAGCACGGGAACCGAGAGGCGCCTGATATATATCTCCTCCATGTCCTCTATCTCTCCCCATTTCCATCTCTGGAAATCGTCCGGAAGCTCCCGCCTGGTATCTTCATCCAACAACATAACCATACGTTCGCGGAAGGATTCAGATACGCAGTTCGCCAACACCATGACCGCCAGCTCTCGCAACTTATGTCTCTTATCCTCGAGCCCCATCACCACCAGCATGAACTTCCCGAACTGCTCCTCGACCTCATAATCCGGGTGTCTATTGATCAGATCCCTTATGAGAACGGGCACCATGTCACCGATGAGGTGGTTCTGGAGGCGGGGCATCAACATACGCTCAGCTAGGTCCCAAACCCCACCGAGCTGCATAAGTGTTGGATGAACGAATCCTATTTGCTTTATAAAACCAATATACATCCAGTAGATGATATAGGTGAAATCAAGAGGTTCAATGTCGTCGAATGTCAGAATCTCACCTTGCGGCTTGCTGTCGAACACCTGCTTCAAGTATGGAGATGCATTGCAGATGCGATGTTGGTGGACCAGAAATATGGCTGTCTCGAGATTCACGTTGGTAGAGTCATTGACGGAGTTAGCGGCGGTCTCAGCAGCAGGCTCAGTAGCGGCATCAGCAGTAGTACTGTCGGAGGAGACATTGTCGGACTCATTAATAGGCTCAGTGGCAGAGTCAGCAGCAGAATCAATGACAAGCCTAGTGGCAGTCCTAGTTGTGATTTCACTGATATCCTCAGCAACTGGCTCAGCAACAGGTCCAGTAGTAGTTATGTCGGCAGAGTCATTGACGGATTCAGTGGCAGGCTCAGCAGTATCAGGACGGTCCCCTGCTGCTTCATCAATCGGCCGTCCCGAGTCAAAGATGATCTTGATAGTGACTATCGGCCCACTAAGATCGATTCATTAGACCACTCTCCCTAAAATCTCTATATCAATGACTTACAATTCAGGACCTACCTGACCTGTCCAGGCGGGGATATTGATTATCAGTGGGGGGTTGCCTGTATTAGAGGAGTTGTCTGCCATTTTGTCTGTTCGATCTTTTATTATAGGATGTCATGAAGAGAACCTACTTTAGAGGCTGGAGCGCGAAATCTTTGTAAAAGTTAAGGATCAGTGTTGTTCTAAAGCGCGGCTTTTGTGAGAAGATAAACAACAGCTCACGTTGTTGTCTAGTGTTTACGCGACCTCTTTCTCGTGGCCAGTAGTGAATATCTGGGATCATCTGAGTTCAGATTCTGTTATACATGTTTTAGGCTACTTAGACCTTGTAGAGGAGGGTCATGGCTTGCTACACTGGCTTTATATTCTTGTTTTTTCTCTTTCATCAGGACATATTTACTACTAGATTGTCATGTAAACTGCATTCCATCTTCAGGTTACCTCTCCAAATGCTATCTATAGGAACCTAAGAGGCCAACAGTTTAGGAGCACAATATTTGGGCCTTGGAAAGGGGTATCACGTGATTTATAGATTGGTAGAGTCTTTTGTTTACTTTTGTCACTATTAGATCGTCCCAAGATCTCACGAGAAGTTATAGTATTTACTGTGAACCTCTTCATATTTGGTATCAAGAGCTAGGATACAAGAGGCATGTGTATCCTACAGACATTACAACTGTGGTCGTCTGACTTATTCCCCAGTTTTAGCTCAGCATACAAAAGAAACGTTGCCAGTGATGAATTCCATAGCTGTCCCTCCGTTCAATGGATGGCATGTCTGTGTTGATAATGTTAGATAAGTACATTCAGAGTAAAGGTGAAAGGACTTACGGGAATAAAAGCAAAAGTAAGCAATTGCCAGTAATGAATCCCACAGATGTCCCTCTATTCAGTGGATGACACATCTATTGAGATAAAAGTTAGATGGGTAAAATTGAAGTAAGGATGAGAGAACCCACGGGAACAAAAGCAGTAGAGAAAGTTGGCATGTGGGTAATCAAGCAGGACAAGGCAAGCCGTCAGAAAACCAGGGCGAGAAGTTAAGGGTTGTACAATGGTTCAAGGTCTGCTTTAGATTAGTGATAATCCTCTAAAGTGAGAAGTTGTGACTTACCAAAATCTAGAGGCAATTCTGATCAATAGAAACCGCGACCACGTCTGTTACGGAGAGTGCGGCTACCACGAACAGTGCTGCTACCTCGAACAGTACTGTTACCACGACCAGCACTACGGCTAGCAGCAAATCCGTGTCGTTGAACTGGAGATCCAGTAGATGTCATAGCCCGATTGATCGCCAGGGCCCTCTCCCTCGCCTCCCATGATTTCTCTACATCCTCTTGGTTGATAGGCTTGGCTCGTGATGGCGGGGTTAGGGTCGTGAGACGGCGCTTACTTGGCGTACAAGTAGAAGGATGGTTCGGACTGCCTGGAAGCTTGTTGTCCTCGGATGCCTGTGAAGAAGACGTGTCTGAATGTTGAAAGCGACGTCTCTTCGCGCCGTATCTCTCATTGAATAAGGCACTTGCGGCAGCAGGTCTGCTAGGAAGGCTTAATGCAAATCTGCTTGGCTCAGCTCTTTCGTTCGGGGTGGCTTTCTTGGTAGGGGTCACAAAGGAGGACATGTCTGTCGTGCTTGTATTATAACGAGATACTTGCAGGGCAGGAGACACAGTAGTAGCATTAAGTGGTCGACCTGTTGCAAGTGCACGTTGCATCTTCTTGACGTGCATCTCTAGTTCTCTGCGCAATTCGTATTCGTCAATACCGCCACAGCCCTTTAAGAAAGCTTCGAATCCATTCTGCTGTGCAGCAAGGAAGCGCTGGAAGTGTGATATGTCCATCTTGGACAATCACCTTGCTAACAGAAGGTTAGGTATAAACACAGGGTGCCTTAAGAAACTTAGAGGATCTGTTGACAGGATCGAAGAGTATGCGGACGTGAAGATAATATACTTACAGGAGAGAGGAGGAATTCGTCTGAACAAAGAATTTGTCTCAAGATCTAAGAGCGATCTTTGAGAAAGGACCTTTAGAAGCGATTGAAGTGTCTGGTAAGAAGGTGAATTTGGGCGAAGGTCAAGGAAACAAGCGCGAGCCTTTATCAAAGTAAACAAATCCAAGTCGCGCTTCTCCCCCTTTTACACTTCACTTCGCTTAACTCGTTTGTTCCCAATTTCACGACAGCAATCTGAACAGAAATAAATTATCAAGATGATGAAAATATTTGTTACCTATAAGGTAATTGATCCAACTCTTGGAGCTCAGACTTTTGAGTAGATCACCTATGAGATAATTGAGCCAACTCTAGGGACTCAGACTTTCTGAGTAATTGGAAAGGTGCATTCATTGCTATTCTTAGGGGAGAAATACTTCCTATCATATTCCCCAAATATAGCATTTAATGAGGACTTATAGGTGAGACTGTGTCGGCAATCCATTCAAGAATCCCAGGACTCTGTTCACCAGCCCGTTAACTACCTCCTCAGGATTCCCTGACAGATCATGAGATGCGCCCGCCAAAACTCCCGAGTGCACCTCATCGACGGTACCCTTCCCTCTTTTTGAAATCTCAATCCATCTCTTCAACATAGCCTCCTTGTCAACACTCTTCGGCATGTACTCATCATTGCCCGAAAACAAGATGCACAATGGACTCCTAGCCGGCAATGCACCAAAGGTCTTCAGCAATTGCTCATCGCTCAAGTCCGAACTGAATAGATCGTCGTCTCCATCGTGATCCGGACTCGCTAGACTCAGCCACCGCCGTGCTGATATCGGTGTCGGGGCGAAAAACCCATGTCTGACTTTACTCGGAAGGATCTCTTCGCCATCCCCGGACTCTACCATCGCTTTGGCTATCTTACAGGTCTCGCTCAAAACCTCCTCACCGAGAGCCATAACCATTGCCTCTCGATCACTAGCCGGAGCTTGAATTATGCCTCCATCAATAGCAGGACGAGTCTCGTGGCCCGTGCCCGTAAGATATGTGATGACATCTTGACAGCCGGTTGAATGGCCCATCAGGATTATCTTACCGGACTTGATGGTCCGGAAGTAGGATACACATTTGGCAAGTTCGTCGGCATCACGGTCAAGGGAAGATATGCCCCAGCCAAGGTAGGACGAAGAAAGGAGGACTTCTGCCAGGCTCCAGGAAGGTGGGAGGGTGGCAGCGATTCTTGTGGGATAGGGCGTTGTGAGCAAGCCGCCGAAGAGGCCACCAACGAAGATCAGAAGGTTCTGGGGTTCTGAGGTTGGGTGTGGTGTGTGCTCGAAAACCGTGAGCTGGGAGGTCTGTGGCGTGTCAGGCTGGGCTATGACAGATGTAATTGGGATTGAACAAGATGTCAACGGAATTAAGACGAATATTCTTCTGAATATATGGCAAGAGAATAGTGGGGACAGAAACGACTCTCTACTGCCTTGTCCAACTCGAACGCGGCCATGGTAACATTCAAATCACTTCAGCTAGAGCAAGATTCAGGGCTTATCTTACATATTGGTGTAAAATGCCTTTTCTGGAGCTCCCTTTGAAAGAAGCCATCGTGCCGTTTTGCGGAAAGTGAGCTTTGTGGTACTTCGAGACCTCAATCATCAACTATCGGCAGTCCTTCACTTGAACGACCTTCTAAACTCGCTGGACAAAGATAAATACAAAATTTTGCTCGTTAAACCTCCCACTTATGAAGGTACGAAGGTATGAAGTTAGGGATGAAGTTCGCTGAACTCCGTGCAGTTTATGTCCCAGGCAGCTGCCGTCCGCCATGTTGAAACAGCACGTGACCCCGTTTCCAACCTCGAGCTTCGCGAAATTTATCTCGAGCTCATCCAGCATCAACGACCAGCCGCTCAACTTTCGCAGAACCACGATCGGGCGAGCGACGACACAATGGCGCCTTCGACATCCCCTCTCTTTCGTCTCCTGACGCCTCTCCTCCAAACCTTTCGCAATGTCTCCTCCCGCCCCTCCCTACCCACAACGCTCAGTCCTCTCTCCCAATCCAAGCCCTTCAGCACCAGCCCACAACTCCTCGCTCGACCGTCAAAGAAACAACCCGGCAAGGACCCCCGAATAACACTCATCCGCTACCATCTGCAGCATCCGAAGACGCCGCGGCCGTTAAGGCTGTCGCGTATGCGTGCGCTACGACACTGGACGATCCATAGGGCGTGGATGTTGAGCCGGCGGAAACGGTTGGAGAAGGAGGAGGCTGAATTATATCGGTATGTCCTGTGGTTCTATATCTTTCCCCGTCCCCTTTCCCCTTTGATGCCCCTTGTTGCCATATTCTTAGTCCCTAGAAGGAGTTCCCAGACTAACAAATACACTTCTTTTCTCTCGGACAGTATGTATCAATCTATGCACGCAGCCTGCGAGGAACTGCGGACGATGGACCCACCGGGCTCAAAAGACGCCGGGAGACTCTACAGAATAGCCATGGAGAAGAAGGGGATCTATGGCCATGGCGGTGTGCCGATTGAGTATGCCAGACTTCAGACTGAGACGCCGGGTAAGGAGCCGTGGAACCATGGGTGGACTAGATGATTTATCAGGGGTCGGAGGGGATAAGATATGCCGTGGAGAGTGGAAGTCGGATTGAAGATATGGAGAGAGCGAATGCTTGAGGTATCACGGTACGGCGAAAGGTATCAAAGAAAGAGCGGGAAAATACCTGTGGTAAGGAGAATTCAAAGGGGGGTCTTGAAGCAAGCAAAACGGCATGTTCAATGATCTCTCTTGCACTATGTATCATATGTACAAATCAATCATCCATGCCTTCGTTCGTCCCTCGAACAATTTCATTATCCCAACGCATATCAATTCCACGCAAGCAATGCATTCACGCCAGTCAACCTTCCATCCGTCCATCGATTATGGCGCTCGGGTATGTCAGAAAATCCAGCAATAACAGAAAGGAGTGTTTGTGTAAAGACCAGAATTGTATGTCGTGATCAGTCATTAAAAGGGTTTAGAGACCCTAACCCCTCCAGAGTACGTGTAAATCTAGCACAACGCTGATAATTCATCGCTCAGGAACGAAAGACTTTTCCATATCGTGCCGAATTCAACACCCAAAGATGAGAATCCGCGGTCGAGCCGATATGCTGTGCACAAGGAGAACTTTGCTTAAGTGATTAGAAAGGTATCCGTAGAGGTGATACAGTGGTCATGGATGCCTTCCAGGCATCTGTGTGTATGTGTCGTCGTGTGGTTCGTGTTTCGCTCAATCGGGATCGGATCCAACTTATAGGATGACACAGCACCCACCTCCCTCTCCTTTCTCGAATGTAAGTAGTGCAGCCCGTGTTGCTGCCTCGAATACATCGTCTACGCCTTCACCAGTCAGAGAGGAACATTCGAGATATTTCCGTGCTCCGATGTCGTGTGCGATATCTGCTGCCTCCTTGGGACCCACGAAGTGCTGTGACTTCTTCCGTATCTCCTCAATTGCAACTGGGTCCTCTCGAAGATCCTTCTTTAGTCCAACTAGGATGATTGGAACGCCCGGGCATCGTTCGTTTGCTTCTTCAACCCACTGTGAATCACGATTAATATGTGCTGGATGTAGTAGGGGAGGAGACGCACTTTGTGCTTGACGTTATCTAGAGAATCGGGGGTATCAATCGAGAATCCTATGAGGATGACATGTGCTTTTGAGTATGCCAAGGGTCGCAGTCTTTCGTAGTCTTCCTGTCCTGCTGTATCCCATAATGCCAATTGTACGCTCTTCCCATCGACTCTGCAGTCTGTGACATAGTTCTCGAAGACCGTAGGGACCTGGAATGGAGGGTTAGAACCTATCCAAGAAGGAATTGAGCTGATCAGATTGAGCGCTCACATAATGCTGTGATACGTGTTAGCAATCCAATACTTCAATTGGATTCTGGGCAACGTACAGTTGGAAAATACCCAAGTGTGAACACACTGAGGAGAGAAGTTTTACCACAAGCACCATCCCCAATTATGACCAATTTCCTACATGCTTGTCAGCATGATTTCATTCATCAAGGATGAAATTAGTGTAATTGGTTCCATCCACGAACACTGGTCAAATAGAGACAGGCAGCCATTTGATTTGGGCATGCTGCTAGCTCTTCACTGCCGAAACAATCCCAATCCAAGCTATATAGATTCTCTTTTACGGAGAAGAATTGGCAGATGCCGAGAGTCTATCTTCCATCGAATACTCGAACGTACCTTCGCATAACATTCTGTGCCTGTGGTTGAGCCATTGTGAAGGGGGGTTGTATGGTATTCGGGGAGCGATTCTTATTGAAGACCCATACACCGGCAAAGGTAAGGGCTTAATCCCAGAGAGCTCTATCCGCGTTCTGGGGTGGTTGCAAAGGGCAGGTAGATGGGTGATTGGGGATGCGAGCCGGGCTGGTGGGCAGGAAGGAGAAACGTGCAGCCGGGTGCTCTTCAGACAACGGAGAATCGAGAATCGAGAGAGGGAGGAAGGGTGTAGAGAGAAGGATGTGGAGTGTAGAGTGTAGAGTGTAGAGTTTGCGCTGTAGAGTGTAGAGTGTTTATTTATTAATGGAGGTGTCAGGTACCCGAAGAAACATAAGCCGTAAGCCGTTGTCCCTGGGCGTGTCGCGAATGAGTGGAGATCCGTTGGAGGAAGAAGCCTCAACTGGGAAGCAAACTGGGCTGAGTCGACCGAACCGTGCCCGTCAAGGCCGCGTTTGGGCTAGGAGAGCCTATGATGCTTCGGCTGTGACGATCTTGCGGCGAATAGCAAGTCCCTAAGTAGCCAGTAGTGAAGGGTTGAGCCTCGTATTGCAGGACAACGCTCGCGAGGCGTGGGAGAAAACGAGAGGGAGAGAGAGCAACAGACGCACAAGAGAGCGAGGGCGAGGATCGAGCGGTCAGAGTTAGACAACACGGCTCTCCGGGGCGTTTGGGATTGCGTGGACAAACCGGCCTTCCAATGGTTGTCGAACGCGAACTCGAAGGGTTTGGAGACTGATATCCCCCAGGGTATGTCACGTGATAATTGCTGCCTCGATACCTCAGGCGCGAATCGGAACCGACTTCAAGATACCTTACTTGGAATGCAACCACCTCCAACATTCCCCGGACTTTAGGGACTCTCCTGACCAGATCCATATCTACGACTAATTCATACTTTCGCCAGCCCTTCCAACCCTCGGCCGCGCCCTGAAGAGCCCGAATCACTCCTATCTTGCCCATTCTCGAACCCGCAAGAAGGAGCCACTTGGTGGGGCAGCACTGGCTAATTTCTCCTCACCCTTCTGGTCAGTCCTGGGGTTGGCATTCACCGTTTCCCACTGGGGAATTCCTTGTCCTGGAGTCTAATTTGTATGTCTTCAATAGTCCTCCTCCTACCACCGCGTGCCGAACATCGGCCTGATCGGAATGCCAGCGAACCATCGTCAACAGCCATCACAACCACCAGCTCTGTCCCCGACATCCCCGAATAAAGCCACTGCGAAGTACACGAATAAGGATGGTTCGAAGTTCATAACTGTCCCCAAGTCGACCACGAGTACTTCATCTGAGACATCCTCAACCATGGCCCAAGCAACAAAGACAAACGGGCAAACGCCTAACCCCTCTACAGACACAGGTGCTGCACCAGCCGTGAACCGGAAGAAGCAGAAGCGCAGACAAAAGCAAGCTGCTCGACTAGCCGCCGAACAGCCGGTGGCCCAAAATGGCGTGGAATCTGTACGCGAGGTTAAGCAGAAGATGGAAGAATTAGAAGCACGCTTGCGCGATCACGGTTTGGACGACCACTATCACGAGAATGCCCGGTTCGATGCCGCCGAAGGTGAATATTACAGCGAGGAAGAAGGCGATAACTACTCGTACGAGCATAACGATTCCCCACCGAACGGCTACCCGAATCCTCCTTCGAATCCACCAGGGAAGAAGTCAAAGAAGAAAAAGAAGAAGGCAGGCCAGACTTCCGAATCTTCGAATCAACGTAACGCGTTTACGAATGGCACTCACAATCATGTATCGCTTCCTCTCCCTCCCTTACAAACAAACATGCCAAGAGGACCCGGCATTTCGAAGGAAAAGATATGGAACACCTCTTCTCAGGAAGAGCGCGAACGAATAAAGGAGTTCTGGTTATCCCTTGGCGAAGATGAGCGCAAATCCCTCGTCAAAGTAGAGAAGGATGCTGTTCTGAAAAAAATGAAGGAGCAACAAAAGCATTCTTGCAGCTGCACTGTTTGTGGACGGAAACGTACTGCGATCGAGGAGGAGTTGGAGGTTCTTTACGATGCATATTATGAGGAACTCGAGCAATATGCTAATCATCAAGGAGACGGTGGACCTCCACCAATGATGCCTCCGTCGCGTCGGTTTGGCGCGATGAGTGGACTGCAACCACCAAACCGCCTACCTACAGCTTTCAATGGCCAACAACCGTCACGAGGTAGAATAGTTGAGCAGTTAGGCGATGATGAAGAAGAAGAGGAAGAAGGTGACGAAGAATACAGTGAGGATGATGAGGATGACTACAGCGATGAGGAACCGGAGGAGCTTCCACGAAATCACGCAACGGACTTTTTCAATTTTGGCAACAGTCTTACTGTTCAAGGAGGGATACTTACCGTGGCGGATGATTTGTTAAAGAATGACGGGAAGAAGTTCATTGAGATGATGGAACAGCTTGCTGAACGTCGGATGGCACGTGAGGAAGATGCTAGGGAGCAATACGCCAATGCGAATTATGGCCATCCACCAAACGGCTCTATTCATCCCCACTCTCATACACATAACCCTCCACCTCCTCCGGACGATGAAGAGTACGATGACGAAGACGAGGAAGAGGAAGAGTATGATAGTCAAGAAGACTACGACGAAGAGGAGATGATGGTATGTCACGTGGTTGTGTTTTCTACGGCGTACTGATTTTCAGCAGGAATCCATGACTGAAGAGCAGCGAATGGAGGAAGGACGACGAATGTTCCAGATATTCGCAGCTCGGATGTTTGAGCAAAGAGTATTAACCGCCTATAAGGAAAAGGTTGCGAAAGAGCGGCAGCAAAAGCTTCTCGAGGAGCTGGAGGAAGAAAGCAGGGCTGATTCCCAGAAGAAGGCTAAGAAAGCCAAGGACGCCCAGAAGAAGAAAGATAGAATTCAGCAGAAGAAGCTGGCTCTTGCAGAAGAGAAGGCACGGAAAGAAGCCGAAAAAGCCGCCGAGGAAGCCGCTCTCCGTGCTGCTGAAGAGAAGAAGGCTGAAGAGCAACGTCTGAAAGCCGAGGAAAAGCGGAAGAAGAAAGAAGCTCAGAAGAAGGCCGAGGAAGAGGAGCGTATGCGGAAGGAGGCAGAAAAGCAACGACGACTGCAGGAACAGCGAGAGCGACAAGCTGAGCTTGAGAGAAAACAGCGTGAGGCGAAGGAGAAGGAGAGAAGAGAGAAGGAGGAGTTGAGGCAAAAAGAACGTGAAGCCAAGGAGGCTAAGGAACGGGAGGCCAGAGAGCGGAAGGAGAAACAGGAGCGGGAGAAGAAGGAAAAGGAGGCCAAAGCCAAGGCTGAAAAGGAGGCGAAGGAACAACAAAAGCGCGAGGAGTCGGCCGCTCAACAAGCGGCTGCTCAAGCGGCTCTTGCTGCTTCCCAAGCTACCAAGCGACCGCCTGTCCCAATCCCTGCGAATCTTCAGCCACATCCGCCTGCCGTTGCTTCGCCGCATATTCCAGTTGCAACCCCCGCAGTACCAAAGGCGCCGACTCCTGTCAAACTTCGAACGGATTCTCAGAGAGACTCTTCTAATGGGTCTGTACCTCAGACTCCTCAAACTGGTGGTATTAGCCAAAATGTCTCTCCTGTCCCTTCAACCCCCTTGCAAGGGAGCCCTGGCCCCATCGGACCCCCAGGGAAAGCACAGCCACATCAGCCCTTTTTCCACCAGCCGCAAGCCACTTCGCCTATGCATTCCGCTATCAAGAGTCCTCCTGGCATACCACCAAATCCTTTTGGTTTGCCACATATGGGCTTCCAGCCTGGTATGCCAATGATGCCTCCTGGTTACGGTGGACGTCTGCATCACGATCCGATGTTTCCTCAGCCAATGGGTGGACAGTTTCGGCCTGGTCCAACTGGCATACCTATTCACCCCGGACACCAGATTCCACAGGGAAGAAGTTTCCCAATACAACACCCACCACCAGGGTTCTCGCAAAGTCCAATAGGAAGTGTTGGCCAGTCCTTCGGTTCTCAGGAAAACATACCAATTCAGTCACATTCTCGGCAGCAGTCTGCTTCTTATGAGAAGCCTTTCGAGGGATCGACGTCAGCACCACAAACGCAACCAATCGCTCGACCCGCACCAATCGGTCGGCCTTCGAGTGTGGTACAAGGACTTCGACATGGTGAAACTGGTAAGAATGATGTTGACGATTTAAGCAATCATCTTGGCAGCAGTGCTCTATTAGATGATTCTGACGAGCCCCTCAATTCTGGATCTGGTATTGGGCGAATGAGTGCCGCACCCGGCAATGCGAGTCGGCAAGCCTTTGCGCCCCCGCCGTTTGGCATGGATCCTTCTGCATTTGGCAATCCCATCACAGCTGGCGCGTATAACTTTTACACTCCAACAAGTGCTTTTGGTACGTCTCTACCTGGGACGAACTACATGGGGGGAGGGTTCTTCAATTCTGCAAGCAGTTCGTTTGGCGCGGTCGGTGGCTCATCAGCTATCCGGCCTTCCCAGCCTCATGGCCGCTCTATTGCCGTCAGACTTATGCTCTGCCGCGCCTGCAAGAAGCTTGAAGGCTCTTCACCTGATGGGTACGCTGATATCAACGCCATCATCGACTATCTCAATTCTTCCGGCGAAGGCCACGTTTCTGAAAGAGAGATCCTCGACATCTGCGAAACAGAAGGAAACTCCCAGAATGGCGGTGGATCGTTTGACGTCCGCAAAGATAGCAATAACCGCTACTCTATCCGCCACGAGATCGACCTTCCCTCCTCCCATCGTCCTGTTGGTGCACCTGGCGAAATCGGCAGCCCTATTGTGGGCGCAGGAGGAATATCACGCTTCCCTGGGCCTCCTGGCTTCTAATCTACTTCGATGTGTGGGATACTTCCAGACATTGAGACGAGCTTCTATTATTTGCTGGACATTCCTGCGAATTCTTCTTTGTATCATTGATCGATCGCATTGCATTGACGCAGCCTACTAGCTGATAACCGGCGGCGCTCTTGCCTTTTGAGGTTTCCTTCTTACTCTTACTCGTAGTAAGATGTACGGATATTGTATTAGCGATCACTTCACGAAAATAGTGAGGTGGAATATTGAACCATATTCAATAATGGAGTGTGTTTACCAAAGTGCATGTGATTGCCTTCTTGATCGATCCTTGCCTGCCTTTTTCATCAATAGTGACTTATTGTTATTCCCAGTTCGATATCAGGTAGGATACAGAGGTGTAGTTCTGGATATTTAAACAGTAGTGTTTTTCCCCTAGTTACGCCGTTTATATATCTTTTGATTTTCAAGTCCAACTCATATCCTGCGTATAAGCTCATTGTAGCAAGACGAGCAGAATCCCTTTCTTCCCCTTTGTAACCATGATACCTACATACCTCCTTCCTCATACCTCCTCATACCTCCTCTCCCCTTGTCGCTTCGCTGTGTATGTTGGTTCGTGTCCGTACTCGTCCTGTTGAGGTTCTTGGTCCGGGTAGTCTTCTGACTCTGGCGGGAGACGTAGGAGGCTGCGTAGGCTGCGTAGGCTGCATGGGAAACTGCATACGGACTCTCCGATTGAGCGGAAAGCGCTCGAGATTCATATGGCGTGAGCCGTGTGCGCTCCGGCTCCTTTCCCTTATGGACTTCTGATCCGACCTCCGTTCGGCTTCTGCGTCAGGATAGTTATGTACTACTTTTTTTGTTGGTATACATCATATGCTCAGGCTCTATTTTACTATACTGGCTGGATCTACCTTTTTAGGGTAACCTATCTCCTCGTCGTCTGCATTACTTGAGATCTCCTTCCTCTTACTAGTATACTCTGGCCCCAGGGCGTCTTGTCGCGCCTGTCTTCGCTTTTGTTGTTTATATTCATGCCGTTCGAGTCCACTTAGGGACCTATACTTCTTGCTATCTCCGTCAGGATAGTTATGTACTACTTTTTTTGTTAGTATACATCATATGCTAAGGGTCTATTGTACTATACTGGCTGGATCTACCTTTTTAGGGTAACCTATCTCCTCATCGTATATATAACTTAAACACTCCCTCATCCTCCTACTAGTATACTCTGTCTCTACGTAAATTTGTCGCGCCGGTCTTCGCCATTTTACTTAGGGATTTACACTTCTTGCCGCATTCTTTACAATCAAAAGTACTACTGAATGGCATTTTCGACGTGTTGAGTAAGGTAACTAGAAGTTATCGCGTAAAGGGGTGTGTCTTGTTGAAATGGGTAGTAGTACTGCATTTTGATCTGTTGCTACGCGTAGGTACGCGTGCGAGTACATTACCCCTGTTATTCTAGTCATGTGATCGCGCACATATAGGTATTCGTGGGCCATTTGATGGGCTATTTCATGACTTTCTTAGGATATGCCACTTGCGCGTTTAAGAATGAATATAAACTTCTCTTTTTTATATTAGTCAACACGAGCGTAGATAATCCCTATTTATTATGTCTTTAGCTAAAGTACCTTAATAGACAGACATAAGCCTAGGCCTTATAACACATCAAACCATATCATCTAGACACGCACTCCCCTCCTCTCATGATCTTCTAGCACAGCATAGCACAGCACCTCCTATATCCTGTTTATTTCAATTGATTGACAATACGTTAGGTACCTATATTATAGTTAATAGTTAACCAAATCACCTACCTAGGTACTTACCTACCTATCCACAGACATCACATACCTTCCCCTCCCTTCCCTTCCCTTTCTTTTCTTCGTAACTTACAATATAAAATGATATGACATGACATATTTTCACCCCGCAAAGAGGAAGCAAAACCCACCAAATCAAAAATCAAAATCAAAAATCAAACCCCATCCCTCTCCTTCCCCCTATTCCATGACCCGATCCCATACATATCTCCATACCTACCCTAGCCGCCTAGCCAACACCCTGAAGCACAGAGCTTTGGCTCGGGATTTGAAGAAGCTTATGTATGACTCGTACAGTAGGAAAGCCCGGACTGATTTGAGAGTACAAAATGATTGATAAGAGAGCTTTGATTGATTGACTGATAGTGTACAGTAGGTGGTTGAGCCGAAGGTAAGCGACAGAGCGAGCGGACGGGAGGAGAAGGAGTTTGGATTCTGATATCTGATCTGATCTGATTGATCCACTTGGACGGGACCCGCAGAGATAGATAGATAGATAAGGCTACTGTATGTATGTACTCTGCAGGGGAAATCATTATTATGCACGGTATTCGATCGATTGAATTTTTGCATTCTTGACCTATCCATCCATCCATCCATTCACGCGTAGCTTTCTTAGCGTTTTGTTTGTTCCATATATCTACATCTCTCATCCATCCATCATCGATGGCTTGCTTGCGTGCGTGACTTCATCTTCTTCCTCCCCCAATCCAAAACGGTAGTGCGATTAAAGCTTTTGTGCTCTCCAATCCTAAGATAAAAACACAAGAAAGACGGAATGCGGCATCATCTGGCTATGACTTTTCGGCTTGCAAAAAACACCCCCAAATAATCGACATATGAGAAAAGCTCCACTTATCCACCTCTGTTGTCCCATCCTAATAGTGCTTGCCACCCGTTCGCTCCTTCATCAACTTTCTCCTCTCCTTGTCCTTGGCTATATCACGTGTTAGTAGTCTGAATTTGTGCAAACTAGTAAAGGGGGGGAAACGAACCTTCATCATAGACCAAGAACTCATGTAACGCACTACCACCCGGTACCATAGGCAAGACCGGGACCTTCTTATCTGTCACAACCTCCAAGAACGCTGGGCCATCACTCTCAATCAACCACGTCAAGGCATCCCGGACATCATCCGGTCTGATACATCTTCTAGCCTGAATACCCATAGCATCTGCCAATTTCATGAAGTCGGGGTTCTTGGAGTGCGTATGCGCGTATCGATCCTCGTAGAAGATGTTCTGCCATTGCGTGACCATTCCTTGCTCCTCGTTGTTCAAGACGATGATCTTCACTCCGATGTCGAATTGCTGGGCGGTGGACATCTCGGTAAGGGTCATGTTGAAGGAGGCGTCACCATCGATATCGATCACGAGGGCGTCGGGACGGGCAACCTTGGCACCGATGGCGGCAGGCAGCCCATAGCCCATGGTTCCAAGACCACCAGAGGTGATCATGGTTCTTGGGTATCGCCAGCGGAAATGTTGAGCGGTCCACATTTGATGTTGACCTACGCCAGTTGCGATAATCGTATCTTCTTTTCGGTGGGCGGTGAGGTTGGAGAGTTCTTCGATAAGGGTCTGGGGTTTGATGAGGCCTGCTCGCTCGGCCCGTTCGTATGCAGAGAGAGGGAACTTGTTCTTCCAGAACTTGATCTGGTCAAACCATTCCTTGCGCTCTTGCATGCTTCGGTTTTCGACCTGGGGCAGGAGGAGGGCGAGGTTGGCTACGACATCTCCCTCTACGGCTTCGGTGGCTTGGACAACTTTGTTGATGTTCTTGGGCATGATCTCGAAGTGCACGATACCGCCTCGTCCTTCTGCTGCTGCGGCCTTGGCTTGTGGTGCGAACTTGGCGACATTTCCAGTCACACGGTCATCGAAACGGGCTCCAAGAGCGATGATAAGATCGGCCTCCTGCATAGCCAAGTTGGCGTATGCTGCACCGTGCATACCGAGCATGTGAAGGGACTTCTCGTCGAGCTCATCGAATCCACCAAGACCTTGGAGGGTGGTCGTCACGGGGATGGAGGCCTTGTCCGCGAGCTCCTTGAGGAGCTTGGGACCTTCGGGGACAGAGATAAGACCTTGTCCAGCATATACGACTGGCTTCTTGGCGACGTTGAGCAGTTTTGCTACCCGCTGGATGGTAGCTGCAAGCTGTTTCTTGCTGAGCTCGGCTGCCGCTTTCGATGCTTGGCTGGGAAGAGATGGGAGAGTGCTGGTCATCGGGATGGCCTTTCTGAGGATACCGGCTGTGACATCTTTTGGTAGGTCCACCAACACAGGTCCGGGCCGTCCAGAGGTAGCAATCTCAAAAGCTTCGTTTATCCGCTTAGGTAATTCGGCGACGTTCTTGACCATCACGTTCCACTTGGTGCATGCTCTCGAGATACCGACGACATCGGCTTCCTGGAAGGCGTCGCTACCAATAGCGGTCGTTGGTACCTGGCCGCAGAACACGACCATTGGGGTTCCGTCGGAGAGGGCATCCTGCATTGGGGTGATCACGTTGGTGGCTCCTGGGCCTGAGGTGACGAGAACAACACCAGGCTTTCCCGAAGCTCTCGCATAGCCTTCGGCCATATGCCCAGCGCCTTGTTCATGTTTGGGGAGGATGAATTCGAAGTGTTTTGAGTTGTAGATGGCGTCGAATACAGGGAGAATAGCACCACCAGGGTATCCGACTGGAGATTGGCGTCAACGGCGTGCATCTAATTAAATGGGAGACCGAATATACTCACAGACATGTTTAACACCTTGTCTGAGCATCATCTCATGGAAGATCTCCCCTCCTGTTTTCCCAATGAAGCTGTACATCCCGGTTAGCATGTCAAACCCCGAAGTGGCGGTGACTCAGCACCCACGATTCGTCCATCTCTGGCTGGTGGCCATGTTGTAAATGATTTGACTCGTGTCTGCGCGAGCTGGCTGTGTTGAATGCTGGGCTGGGGACCTCTCGTGTTTGTCTGCGGCATGTTAGAGATAAGACGAGGGAATTGAGTCAAGGGAGCGCCTCACGATTGGGTGGCTGTGGCCGAAGCCGTCGCAGAAGTTGCTTGTGTTCTAACGGCAGTAGGACCTTTCCTCGCCGTCGCAATACTCGCTGGCGATGGGCGGCTGGACAACTGTCGGGCGGTGCATTTCGAGGACTGTGTGAGTGCGCGAGCCGCACTCCTGGCGGGATTTGAGCGAAGCATGTTGATGGAGCGGAGAGGGGGGCGGGAAGACAAAGAAGAGAGGGAGGAGGGCGGAAAAGTGGTATATATGACAACGCCTGAGTAGGGGACGGACCAGACAGAGAGACAATGGGGGAGGGTATAGATATATAGATCGGGTAGTGTTGAGTAGTAGAGGTGAAGGAAAAGATGAAGGCGTGGATTATGTGGGATGAATCACGCTTTCTTTGTATCTTTTCGGATGTGCATTTTCTAGCGGAATCGGAGCCCGAGAGAGAGTCTCTTTCCAATATGTGGGGAAGCGAGCTGCGCGCGGTGGGTAGCCGGGGCCAATCAGCGTGCGCGCATTGTCTGCCGTGCTGGGATGTGGCGGCCTGAGGTTGACCTGCCTCTCGAGCCTTGCAGCACCGTGGACATTGGCTTCATCGCATCTGTCAGCCTCGCCCACAAGGCCACCTCTCGTGGCGCTGGGGCTCTGGGAAAAGGAAAAAAGCGTCAGATCGCGGTCGTCGCTGTCCCACCCACAATACATCTGTTCGCTCCAGTCTCCAGCAGGCATTATATGGCCCTCCCTCTGCAAGCGCACCAATCATCGTCCTCTTTCTTCGGCCCTTTCTTCGCGCCAAATCGATGCGGGGTCGCGTTACGCTCAGGAACAAGAAGAGGGCTGGTGTATCACGTAAGGTTTCCTGAATACACTCACTCGTCTTGAAGCTTTTTCTGTCCAACTAACCACTAACCATCTCTCTCGATCTCTCCCTCATACAAGTGTCGGTCTTTTGGGAAGCTGCGAGTACCTCTCCTCGAAGCGCTACCTTCGTCGAACCTCTGCCGGACGCCTAGCACAAGAGTTCCCCCTTGTTCGGCAGGCTCTCCCACCAGAATACCATGGCTGGCCTTGTCCCCGTTGCAAAGTCCTTGGAGGATATATACACAGAAGATGCGTTGCCTGTCCAGACCTCCCGATGGGACAATCTGCTGTCCCAGTTTCAAACCACCTACAGCCACCCCGCCCAATTCGTCTCGCGCTCTCCGGGACGAGTCAACATAATTGGCGAACACATTGACTACTCCCTCTACTCCGTGTTGCCCATGGCCATAACTGCGGACGTCCTGTTAGCTGTCTCGACCTTTGAAGATACGTCCTCCACCTCCTACACGTTGAAGGTCGCCAACGTCCAATCCTCGCGGTTCCCCTCCCACGAGTTCTCCCTCCCCTACGACACTGTGGACATCGACGCCAGCGTGCACGAGTGGACAAACTACTTCAAGTCAGGGCTCCGCGGGGCTCTCGAGCTCCTACGGAAGAAATATGGCCCCGAGTTCAAGCCCAAGAGCCTGGAAGTCCTGATGGACGGCACCGTGCCCGCAGGCGGCGGCCTCTCCAGCTCGGCGGCGTTCGTGAGCGCTTCTGCGCTCGCCGTCCTCTACGCCAATGGCTATACATCAGTCGATAAGACCGAACTTACTGAACTCGCCATTGTGTCCGAACGAGCAGTAGGTGTAAACTCGGGTGGTATGGACCAATCTGCCTCGGTCTTCTCAGTCAGGGGCTCCGCATTATCCGTCTCATTCCTCCCAAGCCTGAAGGCCACGCCCGTCCAATTCCCCAAAACGGACCCAGAGCTCAGCTTCGTGATCGCCCAGAGCTTCGTCGCCGCCGACAAGCACGTAACCGGCCCCGTCTGCTACAACCTCCGAGTCGTCGAATGCAGCCTCGCAGCGGCCTACCTGCACGCCGTCCTGAACAAGACCTCAACCCCCCTCCCCCCTGATTCCGGACCCCTCGGCATCAGCCTGCGCGGCTTCCAAGACGCCTATTTCCGCAACTCCAGCAAGCCCTTCGCCGAGCAACTCACCGAGCTCATCGACCTCACCAACGCCACGCTGCCGCAAGACGGCTACACGCGCGAGGAGATCGCCCCTGTCATCCACCTCTCCGTGCCCGAGCTCAACGCCCGCTTCACATCGACGTTCCCCGTGCGAGCGGAGAAATTCAAACTGCGCCAGCGCGCCCTGCACGTCTTCTCCGAAGCGCTACGCGTGCACCGCTTCCTGGAGCTGCTGGCCTCCCCCGCCACGCCAGACCTGAGTGCCCAGCTGGGCGCCCTGATGAACGCTACGCAGGACAGCTGCAGGGACGTGTACGAGTGCTCGTGTCCGGAGCTGGACGAGCTGTGCACGATTGCGCGGCGCGCGGGTAGTCTGGGGAGTCGGCTGACGGGTGCGGGCTGGGGTGGATGCAGTGTGCACCTGGTGCCGGCGGGGAAGGTGGACAGCGTGAGGAAGGCGTGGGAGAGGGAGTATTATAGTAAGAGGGCTTTGACGGAGGAGCAGAGGGAGGCGGCTGTGGTGGTTAGTAAACCTGGTGGGGGAAGCGCGGTGTTGCTTGTTGAGGGGTAGAATCGTGTACGCACATGGACACACACATATATACCTTATATACCGATGTACCAAGCAACCTTAGGTAACTTATATACGTAGGTATCTATCAATCAGATGAATCAAATACCAGCCCATCCCGGTAATAAAATCAAAGTTTGAAATCCCCATTCACGCCTTCGCTCCCCCGGCCCTCCTCCCTGAGCCCCGCCACCCTCTCCACGAGGCTAATCTTCAGCGCTCGCGACCGCTCCGTGCACAGCTCGTACACCGTCGCTAGGTTAAACGTCAGGCCGCGCCAGGAGTGCCCGGCGTCGATTAGGGACTCGAGATGTGTGCGCGTCTGTTGCATTGCTCGTGAGTTTCTAATTTCTCTAAGAGGAAGGGAAAGGGGAGAGGAAGGGAAGAGAGAGAGAGGAAGGAACGTACGAGAGAGAGCTGGCCGAGGTATAACAAGCACACCGCGAGATTCTGGCGGTACATAGCTATCTCGACATCATCTCGCTGCCCTCCAGACCCCGCCTCAATCAAGCGCTCCCAGATCGGGACCGCGGCCGCGTACTCCGCATCACCCATACATGCAAGCGCCAAGATGACATCGCGGGCCTGCTCGTCCGCGCCAGCCGCGATGCATTTCCGCGCCGCGTCGACGTCGCCTAGGTATAGCCACAGCAGGGCCTGCTGGGCACGCAGCCTCCCGTTGTCCACGCGCAGCGTCTTCAGATGCCGCGCAGCCCCCTCCAAGTCCTCCATCTCGATGAGGGCGCTCGCCACTCGGAGGCCGAGATCCTGGAGCCGGGCATCCCACATCGCGATCTCGGCGGCGTTCTGGTCGCGCCCGGCTTTCTTGAGCGCCGTGAGCGTGAGCCGGGCTTCGCGCCCCAGCTCGTAGTAGCCCATGACGCCGCGTCGGGCGTCGTTGAAGCCCATTCCTTGCAGGCGCACGGCGAGGACGCGCAGTTCCCATGGGGCGAGGTGTGCGCCGGTTAGGTCGTCGAGGTAGTAGGAGGAGTTGAGGTCTTCGAGCGCTTTGACTTCTTGGGCGGCGAGCGCGGTGGCGTTGCAGAGTGTGAGGCAAGAGAGCCGGGTGTAGATGAGGGAGAAGATGGCTTCGTGGTCGGAGGGTGCGATCCCACTTGAGGTGAGCAGTTGGGCTGCTTTGATAGCTGCACTTCTGAAATGCCCGCCGCTGATTAGAGATTCGAGCGGTGTGTCGGTTGAAGGTTGGAGAGAGGAAACGCGGAATGGGGGAGGGACATCCAATAATGTCAGCGGATGATAGATCTCTGGTCTTAGCAAGTACCCGAAATCTTTCTGCGGGTTTTGATAATTTGACATATTGGATACTTGATGGGAGGGTGCTGTTCGATATGTTTGATTGGAGACATTAGAGCCAGGAGTTGGAGATGGAAGTCGAGGAGTTGCACGTGGAGATGACAGGCGTGGTGACGCGAACTGGGACTGATTTGAAGAGAGGGATATGGGAGAGAGGAGCTGTTGCTGGTGCGTAGGCAGGGGGAAGACAGAGCTTGTTGGAGAGGCTACCTCGTCAGGTTGAAGAGGGGAGCTGCCTCGTATTTTAGTAGGGTAGATAGATATATAGAGCAAAGGGGAGAATCAGACTCATCAATATCAAGCGGACCGCGGGTTGAGCGTCGGATAACTGCGTTGAACATTAGTCGAACTGTAGCTCAGAACATGAAAAGGAGATGCGATAGGGAGTAGACAGAAGAAAAGGGGGGCAGGGGGTCTGGTCGTACAACATCACAGGGGCTAGGAGTTAGTGAGTCGTGACAATGGAAGTAAAGCAAATAGCAGCGGCGCTTACTGGCGCTAAAGCTGCGATGCGCAACAAAGTCTTTAGTCTCATGAGTGACAAGTCTATTTAGAACGAGACATGGAAGCCTGCCTCAGAAGAGGCTGAGAGGCCCTTCTGAGGTCATCTATCACAATCACAACTATGTGATTGTTGCGAAGCCAAGACCACAACGCCGCTGACGGAAGAGCATAACATTCCACAGCAAATATGCCAGCCCATTGAACTTCTATCCCTTCAATATACATGGTTCTGTATGCGATGAAAAAGGCCAGATCTGTATAGATCAGGGGTCGTGATCCCCGTGACGACAATCCCTTGGATATCTCACGGTTCCGCGAAACTGAAAGCAGACGCGCATTACTCTACACAGCAAAGTAAGACTAACCTCTACCTGATCCTTTTCTAGCATGGTGATTCGCCGTTGATCCTTCCGATGGGCTTTCCATGGTTGTTGATGTTGGATCGTGATGGGTTCCGATTGCTTCAAGCGAACGATGTACTGTTTTATGCGAACCTCATTTGTGCACGTATAACTTTTATGCGGATTGATTTGATTGGCTCAGCTGAACCTCGAACAACCTCCTCTCAATAACTCCTTTTATGAAACTTATTGCTTAGTGTTTAGTTATTTCTTGGATTTGGGTAATCAATTTGTCTAGGTGTAGAGTATCTTTTGGAAATGTCTTGGTTCTTTGGATTTCATCGCATTTGATCGAACCAGCGACATTTTCCTGTGGCGCGTAGTAAAAGTACCTGCATTTCAAACCCTCAACGAACTGCCCCGTAGTACCCTCATAGGGAACTTGGTGCTGATGAATTTAGATCTGTCTAAAAAGATATAGCTGGGCTGCCATCAATACAAGTTCTATCCAATAAGTCTTGGTTCATGTCGACTGTTAGAGTAATTATGGGGAGTTGTTTTGGGACACTTGACATGGAAATGGCATGGCTTCAGGGCTGTAAGAGCAGTTGGATTAATAATAAGAGGCCTAATTGTACACAATGCATGGTTATGGCTCTAAACCAGTGGCGTTTTATAATATGTCAGACAGGCTGACCGTAAGCGCTTCCTCGTCAACAACCTTCTTGAAGCTCAGCGCTGCCGTCATGAATTCTCTTTCAGTCTTAGATAAGTTTGATTGGACCTCTCCGAGACACCTTCGAGGATCCTTTAACTTCCTATTCACGTCTAGCAGTACATACCTCGCCTCTCGCAGCTTGCCTGGCCGGGCGATCATGTTTTCTGTCATCCCGACGTCTCCATTGAACGTCTCCACGGTCATTTCTTGTCCACCTCCTTCAATTTTGCCTGCCTCTGTGCCTCAACTTTAGCATTTTACTCGTCGGACTTGTGTCTCATCTCTCCGTATATCTGAGAGACTGCATGGGACTTCAAGGTTAGCAACTGGACTTGTGTCCATCCATTCATTGGTGCTCAGAGTGCTACTACTACAAATTCCTTGAGGAAAGAAGCGCCCCTCATTTATCCCACTGCTAATCGTACAGACTGTTCACTTGCTCAACTCTCTCGCATAAAATTTTCATAACCCTGCATGAGGCTTCTCATCAAATCATAAACCTAAGCGCCACCTCCACCTCCACCATCCTCCTCATAAACAACATGACTAAAAGCTTCAAAATCGCCCTCGTCGACTAACCACTCCATATCCTCATCATCAGGGCCCAGCTTCGCCATCAATCCATTTCCCGGTCTTGGATACGGCGGGCTAGCAGGCGTGCTCTCTCGACTATCACCATCCGCAGCATCTTCTGAAACATGGATTGCGGGCGGTGCCGACGAGCTCTGCTTAGATTCCGGCTGCGGGGTACCTTTCGGGGTTCCCTGGCCACCGGGTGGGATTTTGCGGATGAAGTTTATAGGGGCGTTTGGATTCGCCTCCGCGCGGCTGAAGAGGCCAGCGGTTGCAGGAGGCGGAAAGGGTTGTTGGGGATGTACGTTCGTGCGACGATCTACTTGGGAGGAAGGTTGAGATGAGGAGGACCGGGAAGGGCCCGAAGGGGGGAGTTGGGCGGATGTGGGGTGCGAATTGGGTGTTGCTGGGAAGATTGGGAGGTTGGGATAGAGGACGCAGGCTTGAAGTAGTAGCGAGACGAGCTGTTGGTGGGAAAGAGAGGAGAAATATGAGCGTTTCTGTCACGTGGGATCGTCAGTATCATATAACATATACCTGAAGACTGGTGGCATAACTGAAGGAGAGACTTGTGAGAAGAGGAGCGACATACTTCTTCGGTGCTACGTCCTTGCCAGGAGACTCCCCGGCCTTGCTCAGAACCCGCACCCTTTCGACCTCGCTTCAGACTACAATCCGCGCAGAACCACGGCGCGCTCTCGTCTTTCACCATCTCGTCCGAAACAGCGGGATCATGACACATCTGATGCCAACCAAGATTACATCCGTCACAGAACACAATCATATTATTAGCCGGACTATGGCCTCTTCCACACCTCTTGCATAAAGCGTGCTCTTGCGCTCTCTTCGTCGGTCCCCTTTTCCTCGTTGGTCCTTCCGAGACCGCGGGCACGAATTGCGTAGGTTTAACAACTGTCCGTCCAGATTGAGTCATCTTGGGTAGCTCCGTAACACTGCCCGCATCATCAGACTCCGAATCATCTCCCAATCCAGACATAGCCGCTGAATCCGACGAACTTTCACTGTCATCCCTAGCCCTTTTCCTCTTCTGCCCTGCCTTGGTGCCTTTTCTCCTTCCCTTTCCAGCTCCACCACTTGCAGATGTACCACTATTCTGTCGCCCAGTCGCCGGGCTGCCTACCGCAGTAGAGCTACCACTCCTTTGACCAGCGCTCGACAAACGGGCCTTTCCTCCAGTAGACCTTCTATTTGTGTTGACAGGTGGACTAGGAATCTCCATATTCATTGAAGTTTTCATACCCATTAATACATTTCGTCTCATATCCTCGTAACCTGGAGGTGTGCCTGTTATCCCTATCGAGGAGAGGTTCGAAGACCCCAGGCCAGAGTTTATGCGCTTGAGGATCATTTCAGTAGCGGCGCTAAACTGCGGGACATATTTGGGAGGAGAATCGGTCATGGAAATATCGTTCGAGGTGGTCGAGGTGGTAGGAGGAGCAGGTGTGCTCGGATTAGGGGGCTGAGGGGCGTCCATTGCGAACGGAGAGGGGGTAGCGATTTCGAGGTAGAGAAGTATGCGCCGGCGCTCCTTGAAGGATTTGGGGGGGGCAAACAGAATTGACCTGCCGCAGAGCTATCGCAACGAGTTCGATGCTCTAAGATAGCTGTAGACCGAAGTTAATTGGGTTGTTATTGCCCTTCGCCTTGGGCTTCGAGTCTTGTGTGTGGGAGGCCAATTAGGCGTGATCCAGAGTATCAGTGAAAGGCCATTGACCGTCTAGAAGCTCCCCTCGACGTATTAGAATATTTGCAATCTCAGTTATGATCGTTTGGAAGAGCTAAAGATAAGTGCCCATATGCTGTGGCAGGACGGTGTACAGAGCTGGTCATGCGACGGAGTTCTGTTCATGTTAGCGTCCACGTGATATAAAGATCATGTGACTTCAGTTATCATCCATCTTTCCCACTCGAAGTCTTTTCTGGATGCTAGGTGGTCAGTTATATTGTACTGAGTATTGAGAATTTATCAAATAGATCCTTATTTACATGCAAGTTTATTTCACAGCCCCCTCGGCTTTCAGCGCCTTTATCTCCTCTTCATTCAAACCCAGAACCTCGCTCAAAATCTCATCAGTGTGCTGACCCAAAACCGGCGGCGCACTCCTGATACTTGGTTTGCTCTCACTGTACTTAACTGGAGTGTTAACCATCTTAATTGGTCCGCACCACTCGTGATCCATCTCCTTGATCATATCTCTCGCCAACACGTGTTTGTGATTCAGGGTCCCCTGAATATCGTTCACCGCACTATACGGCAATCCCGAGCCCTCAAACACCTCTAGCCACTCTTGCGTTGTCTTTGTTTTGGTGATTGCTTCAATTGCAGAGTCGAGTTCCTCGCGGTGTGCCACTCGTTGTGGGTTAACCGCAAACTTAGGATCTGTTTTCCATTCCGGGCGACCAAGCCCGTCACATATCAGACCGAAGAGACGGTCATTTCCACCTCCGAACAAAATATCCCCGTCTTTTGTCTTGTACGCCCTGTATGGCACAATGGAAGCTATTCCGTTTAGTATCTCTTCAGTGGGATTTTGGACTGGACTATACTTACGATGAGAAGTACCCCACCGGCCTTCATCCTTCTGCCCACTAATCAGACAACTACTCGCCAGATTCGACAACGTCGCGACCTGGCAATCACTCAGTGCAACATCGATATGCTGGCCTTTCCCCGTCCTTCCCCTCACTAACAATGCCGCCATTATACTATTGCTCGTATATAATCCCGTCGTCAAATCCGTCACTGCGACGCCCACTTTGACCGGTGGGCCATCTCGGGCACCCGTGATGTGCATCAATCCCATCTCAGCTTCGACCATGACATCGTATCCTGCACGGTTAGAATAGGGACCAGTTTGACCGTATCCCGTTATGGAGGCGTAAATCAGACCGGGATTGATTTTTTGCAGGGTAGCATAATCCATCCCATACTTCTTCAAGGTACCCGGAAGATAATTCTCGACTAAAACATCTGCCTCTGCTGCCAGCTTGTGTAGAATTTCCACCCCGGATTTATGTTGAAATGATAATCCTACAGATTTCTTGTTCCGGTTTACCTAGGTGTTCCATGTTAGCTTGGTCTGTGAATGCGATGGGGGAACGGAGAGAGATACAGAAATAAAATACGCCGACTCCCCCACACCTTCTTTACCACTCCCTTCAACATACTTGGCATACGGCGGTCCCCAGTGTCGTGTATCATCCCCTCTCGTGGGATGCTCGATCTTTATGATTTCTGCTCTTGGGCCAAACAATCAGCTCTCCACCCCAAATCTTCGCAACAAGAAGCATACCCTAAATCACCCAGTATTTGTGTGCAGTATGGCTGTAGAGTATCCTTCAGCAATTGTACAGCTTCAATTGGACTGGGTTACGCACCCCAGCCAAGACTCGCGACATGTCCAGCACCTTAATGCCCTTCAAGGGAAGCGCCATGTCGTCGTTAGCGACATCGGCGAAGTTCCTCCGCCGGGTGTTGCGGAGAGCTGAGCGAGGGACATTGGGTCGTAATAATTGCCGTGAAGCTCGAATGAGCGGCTGTGCATAGAATGAGGGCGACATTGTTGTTGTAGGTGAAAGGGTGAACTTCAGCCTGAGGACGGGACGGTGTGAGGTCTTATCCAGCCCCTCTACGGTTTACCCCAGATTTTTCGGTAGTAGTTCGGCGGGGAAAAGGTCTGGTCCGTGCCGAGGACCTACGGAGAGCGAGGGGAGAGATGAAGAAGAGATTAAAGTCGCGGCCAGGCATACCTATTCTATACAGCCAGGCAGTCGACCGTATTACATCTCCAAGGAACTGTCGAAATTTGACCTTTTCAAGAGGTGCTCCAAGCACCCGAGCATCCCGTGTATCAGTCACAAAAGCTTGGGATATGTTCTATCTGTGGTGGACTTGGATCTCAATAAGTGCCCTCTTCCTGCCTTTGCGTCTAGCTTGTCTGTCTCCATCCTTGCTTTCGGTACTTACTAACTTTGTGTTCGGCTCACGGAATGCCCCTCAGGGAAGACTATCTTTTGGTTGTTGACGTTATCTCGAAGCATACCTAGTAGGTATTTAACCAGGTTGCATGGGGAAGTTAGTGCCATCTTTAGGTAAGTGTGATGCAATTTACCTAGATGGCACCATTTAAATTCCATACTTACATTTCGCCATCGAGACCTTCGAGACCCTTCGAGCAGGCTACGGTCCAGCGAATCTTTTGCGAATCAACACTCATTTGGCCCAATTGAGTAAAACGGAAACTTTTGATCAAAGGTAGATGGCACCAAAGACAATGGGTAGGGACTATTGTTCTTCAACAACTGGCAGAGCGGCGGCTTGAGTATAGCCTTCTAAATGGTTGTTTATCATGGGATCGCGACCTCGAAAAGATACTTAGTACTATACATTCTCGGAAATCTCAACTACCTATATACCTAGATTTTGCCTAGAGGCTGCGTACAGTGCGCATGCTTAGCCGTGGCCTACTCCATATGTAATCTCCCTCATCCTGCTCGATTGATGGACTGATTCATTCATAAAACGTACCTAAAACAAGATACATCGTAAGGTACCTAACAGGAATTCAGGTACTTTTGGGTAATAGGTGTGTTAGGTGGTGGGGTATGGACGACATCATGTGACTCTGCGATTTCTCTGTACCGGTAGGTCGCGTGCCTAAACAACTTGGAAACTGCATATCTAGGTACATACCTTACATCATGCCGACTCCATCATGGCCAGGACCGACGAAGCAGAAGCTTTCTTCCAGGCTGTGTATAGCGCAGTCCAAGAGATCCCATATGGAAAAGTGACCAGTTACGGGCACATAGCACGTCTGATAGGGACCCGTAAGTTGAGAATGAGTCCCTTGAACGTCTTCCAGTGCTAGGAGCCCCCCACCCCCCCCCCCCTTCCCGAGCAATATAGATTCAAAAAAGTCCAGATTAAGAAGTATTAACATGTATTCTTTTCTAGCGCAAAGACCCCGTCAGGTAGGCGTTTGTCTTAAACATCTCCCCTCTGATCCCTCGATGCCCTTCCACCACGGAAATGTTCCTTGGCAACGAGTCGTCAATTCGAAAGGTGTCATATCTCCTAGGTAGCTCTACACAGATCTTTGTTCTGACCTTCCCTAAGCTGACACCAGATAGGGGTCATCCTTCTGGAGCTGCGAATCAAGCACAAGTCCTCCATGGTGAGGGCGTAGCTGTCAATACAGGCAGCCTGGGCGAGTTGATGATCGATTTGGCACAGTACGGATGGTTTCCGCGTCAGCTCCCCAGCGATACCGCCGCTGGGTTGGCGCCGTTTGACGATCCTGAAAGCTGAAGGAATGGTGGGGGTTTAGGTGATTAGAGGCCCCTTATGAAATACATGAGAAGAGAGCATTACGAGATATGAGAGAGGGTCACAAGATCAATTAATTGTTGAGAGGGTATTTGAAGACCTAAAGCTATGATACAGCATAGAAGCAGACGTATCTGTCTATTCAAGGCCTCTATACAAACCCTCCCCACGAATTCCTCCAAATAAAAATCACGGTCCCATACGATCTCATCTGCTAGTCCGAGCCAGCTTCACCAGTTATATTGTCCAAGTCCAAAGACTTTGGCAATGCCGTGGTCCCTCCCTTCCTCCCAGGCTGTTCATTTGGTGCAGTTGGAGTGCAAAATTTCCAATCTATTCTGATAGCTGTCCTTGTGATGATCGCAGGTCGTAGGTGTTGATACAACATCTGATGATTCAGAGGCAGTAAGGGCATATGCCCACAACCAAGCAAAGTTTAAGTAGCACCAACTGCGCTCGGGTCGGTCTGATGATGCATCATCATAATCCATTGCTGCGATCGCTGGTTAACGGAGCCCATGATCTCAAGCAAAGTCGGATGATCCGCTGCGTATGCAGCCACTTTAAATATGTAGCAATAACCAATCGAGGTAAGAGGTGATGATGTCTTTGTGATGCTGTAAATGCGATTGATGCTAAGCATCGGTGCCGCGTGAGATGTTCATAGTAGGGCTAAAACCCTCATTTGGTCTCGTCGCTACCTTCCGGAGCTCGCGCCTGAGAGCCGGGAGGAATCTGGTTGTTTGGCGGTCCGTTTGGATGCTGGCCGTGCGGCTGGAAATTCTTGTTATTGTTGTAGTTGCCATTTGGGTGATTGTTTCGATGCTGTTGCTGTCCGAATTGATGCATTTGCTGAGGACTCGTTCCGAATTGGTTTGGGCCGCCATACCCTCTCATGGGCACTATAGAAAAGGGTCAGTAAAGTGATCTAAATGTAGTTTAGTTTAGTTTAACATACTTTGTCCTGGGGGCTGTTGAGCAAAAATTGGCGTCACGCTCCCGTATTGCGGGCCTGGGCTCATGCCGGGATTCATGCCATACATGGGCTGCTGATGTCCCTGCTGCGATCCCTGGCTCATCATCATCGGGGCGCCTCTTCCTGGGCTTGGGTAGCCATTGGCACCTGGCATAGCTGAGGGGTGTCCGTTGCTAGGTGGCATGAAGTGACCTTGTCCTCCCTGTGGATACATCATCTGAGGACCTGGAGCCATTCCCTGGGCCATGAATCCGTTAGCGGGATTCTGCATCATGATCGCTGGTCCCATATGGGTTTGCTGCGGTATAAATTGATGACTCTGGGAGAACGAACGGTACTGTGGCATGGGTGGTGCTCCTGGATATGGCATCATTTGCGGATTGTACGCTAACTGAGCAGGAGGATTCATGGGCGAGGGGAATGCCATTGGAACATTATGGAGGCGTGGCGATGCAAACGACTGTGCCGAATGGGATGGCATCATTCGGTGATCATCGGAGCCGTTGAAAGGTGGGTTTGGTCCGTGACCGTGGTGGTTGCCGTGGATATTCATTGGTGGCTGACGGGGGGACTGTCTGGACGCCATGTTATGTACGCCTTGTTGTAGATGGAAAGGTAACTGATGTTGATGCGGAACCTGGGGGCCTACGTGTGACGGGTTGGTCGGCGACATAGTCTGAGCTGGGAAGGGTGTCATTTCGAAGAGTTTAGTGTAGGTGAGGTGCATGGTTGACTCAGGCTTCTCATCATTTGCGAGCTGCCTCCACGTTGGTGGTGTATCATAGGCTGGTTTCAAACCACCAGTCGCCTTCCAATCCTTCTCTGGTCCTGGCTTTATAGTCTTGATATGATTTAGAGCATCAAATTTAGCTTCGATGGAAGGTCGCTCAGATTCCGCAACCGGTTTGCGTTTTAAGAGTGAGCGTGAGACGGGAGGCGTAGGCTGTTGCTCAACCAGAGTGGCAGCCGATCGAGGACTGGACCCTGTGCTAGGATTACCATTCGGGTTGAATGTTGGGGCATGTGGGCTTGGTCTGAACTCGCTGCTGTTGGGATTCAATCGGCCTCCCTGGGCGCTTGCTATGCCGCTTGAGCGACGTGAGAAGTTGGGATCGAGGGTGTTCGAAGGCCCTGTTGGAGGAGGTCTCGACTCGTGCACGGGGATAGCATTCAACGGCAACTGGTTTTGCTTATTTTGTTCGAGATTTCTCAATCGTGAGGTCAAGTTCCCAGGTTGCCTTAATTGTTGAACAGGTATCGGTGGTTGAGATTGAGCTGTTCGGTCGCCTCGGTAGCTTTGAGCGTTGTACGGTCCTTGGAAGCCAGGATTGCGATTATTGCTCTGGCGAGTAGGAACGTTCGAGGGAGAAGTTCCATGGGTCACTGGGATGGGGCGCTGAGCTGACTTGGCATCCGAGGAGGACGCAGCAGGTTTGGCGGCTTCAGATGGATTCGCCTTAGCCTCCTCAGCATTGCGCTTAGCCTTCTCTTGTATCTCCTTCTGCTTTGCTGGGTCTTTCGCAATTATGGATACGAGATCTGATGGGACGGGAGTATGAAGTTTGAAGCTGTCGGCAAATTTCTTCAGGTCGTTCAATTTGATCTCCTTGTCATTCTTGGCTTTGGCTGAACGGATCTGATCAACATTCCTTCTCTGTTGAGCCGCAAATCCTTTGAATGCGCTGGCAACGTCTCGCTCAACTGTAGCAGTAGCGTTGGGAACACCTTCAGGTCTGACTTGTGGAGAAGCCGTGCGGCTGCTGGAAGTGGGTGGGTTAGAGACAGTGGCTTTTGGTTCTGGTGTAGCTGCTGAGCTCGATTCGGTTGCAGTTGCTGGCGTGGTGGGCTCTGCTTTAGATGTCTTTGTTGCAGCAGCCTTGTTCTTCTCCGCAGCCGGCTTCTCAGGACGAGCCAGTTGTGAGGATATAATCGCAGGATCGACCGGTGCTCCGCTAACGGTTGACTGTCCTGTTGGTGCGCGTCGAGCGGGAGGTGTGTATTTGTTGTTGGAGGATGTAAGGGGAGGGAAATCTTGTCTACGGACACCACTGTATCTAGGCTGATCTTAGCAAGGGAGGCGCAGGAAAGAGGAGGATTTAACTTACTTGTCTTCTTCATCAACGTGGTCATTTGTACTTATGTTGTCTGTAATGCGCTCCTCTGCAACATGGGCGTTATTGGTTGCGCTGCGTTCAATCTCCCTCGCCTTCTTATCTGCTTCTGCCAATCGTTGCTTGTACTGGGGGTGGCTCTTATCAATGGTTGTGGTATATATGTTCTCGTCGTAATCAGTCGTGAGTCCGAAACGTCGTTCGTTCTCTGCGAACTGATCCCAAGCTCCAGCAGAGGATTTCGTCCGGCTCGACTCTAAAGAGCCATCAATCTCTTCTGGGGTATCTGGTACCCATCTCTGTAGTGTCCGTTCGCCTTGATTTCTTCCAGCAGATATGGCACTGTCGGTACGGAAAGGGCTAGCAGTACCTGGTAAAGTTAGCTTTGATGAAGCTCGCTCAGACCAATCTGTAGCACCATTTTGTGGCCTACCGTCATTCTTTCCTGTAGACGCTCCAGCCTGGTCCTTTCTTTGGAAAGACATGTTCGGCTGCTGATCTCTATACTTGGCACCACCGTTAAGCATGTCGTTGGGTTTCTTTCCTTGTACCATGTTCGAGGCGAAAATCGACCTGAGGTGCTTGAGTGAACACCCTTCGAGCTCAACGAGCTAGCTCAATAGGCCCGATACCTGTACCGCAAGTCGATTAGCAAAGCATTCAATAACACATAGTTAAGCCAAGGGTGGTCGCTGCCTTGCTTCGTCAAGCTGTAACCCCTATATACTGACGAGTATGGGATGCCCTCCGGGTTCGGAGAGAGCGGTTAAGGCCAAGTAAATCAAAGCTCCTACCTCTTGATCGAAATACGTGCACACGCGATACGCCAATCGCGGCTGTCACGCCAATCCGTTGGAATCGGTAGATGCCTCGTGGTGACAAATCCCTAGTCCGCGAGGCAGGTCTCCGGCGATGAGGAAGGCCGTCTAGTAAGCATCAAGAAGTTAGCATTCGGGCGATGCTATTGTCAATTGCCAGATGCCCGTAGTGGTTGAAACGTTGATGGGGGGAGCTCCAAGCTGCCACCCACAACCATGTCAAAAAAAGAGGTTGGGTGTCGGGGATTGTCTCACCTCGGAAGATTAGAAATGGTCGTGAGAGCCGTCCTGCTTGTGCGATGACCTGTTCGATATCGACTAGTATTCGGCAGACAGCAGACGTTTGTCGAGAGGCCTCGGCGGTGGTGTTGAGGATTTTGGGGGGGGGAGGTGAGGGTAAGGGTGACGGAAAAGAGAGGTTCGAGAGGCCGGACGGGCAAGCGACAGTGCGCGAAGACCACAAAAAACTATGAAAAAGCGCTGGAAGAATAAAAGACAACACAAGGCGACACTCCTATTCTGCAAGCACACAATCTGGCCATCAACCTCAAGGGAGGGAAGAAGATCAAGATGGAGCGGAGCGGGAGAGGATTTGGGGGGGGGTGTGCGGAGGATGGCACAATGACAAGGAGAGCTAGACAAACGACGACGACGAGACGACGACGAGAGTTAACTTAGAGTAGTAGCCGGTGGGAAGGTTGAGGCAGGAAGTGTCGTTCCCGGAACGGTAGACGATTTTAGTGCTACTTTTGTGTGAGGACGGCCACTGGCTGGCTGGCTGGCTGGCACCGCTTCGAGTTGGGAGGGGGGGGGCCTCCCTTGCAAGGTGCAATTCGGATTCGGGAGCCTTTCCGCTTGTAGTGGCGGCTGGAGACGATCTGGAGAAGGGGGCGAGGGAAGGGCCAGGCAGAGGCAGAAAGGGAGGATGAGGAAGGGCGGGCGGGCGATGATGGGGAAGCTGTTGAAGAAGGGCGCGATGGCGATGCGATGATGGAGGAGGTGAGAGAGGAAGAGTGACCCCAGAGAGCGCGGCTCTTGGAGATGACGGATTCCTGTGCGAAAGGTTCGGGTCGCTGTCCCGTAGCACAAAAAAGAGGTAATTCCGGGGCCGTCCAGGCGCTTGAGGGAGTCAAGTGTCAATTGTTGTCCGGGACGCATTTGGCAGAGCCAGCCAAAGCCTTACAGTCCCCAACCTTAAAGTACCTTACCTACATATACCTTAGGTAGAAAGGCAATAGCGTAGTACAAGTGCGAACTTCACGATAGCTTCTACTCTATAGAGACTCGACGCTCTCCATTCTGCTTCTGCAGGTACGACCAAGTGCTCTCTGCGATGCATTTCTGTTACATGAACTCATATACTCACTCGCGTGATCCATCAATAATTGGAGCTCTCTGCACATTGACCCCGGTTAGACTTTGTCCTGCGTGCATAGTCTGTCTGTAAAGGGCGCGCCAGTCTATTATCTACCTTGCTGTAGCTACTTTATATCTACTTACCTTCATGCGTATACCTTGCACGTCTAGACTCCTACACGGTAGGGCACATGGCTGGCGTTTTTAGATGATTCCGCTCTGCCGGTTTCTGTCGATCGGCACGCCCTCCACCACTTGGATAGTAGATCCAGGTATAATTAGATGCTTAGCTACTCCTGTCCTCCGTAGCTCGAGGACTTGCATAAGGTACTTAACGTCTAGCCAGAGAATGCCACAACGGGGCACTTGGTCTGGTGTCTCACGGAGTGCTTCTGGAAGTCTTTCCCGCCTAGCTTCCCAGGGGGAGAATGGAGCATAAATCACCGATGACTACATTGTAGAGAGACTATGAGCTGTTGCCCTTGCATCTTCGGGCATATATAGTTCCAAGAACCAAATGCGCAGGGGAATAAAGATACGTAAATTTTATATGTTATCAGATTCCAAATCTCATGACCATATACACCGTACAGCCGCATCCTTGTGTTTCATCATCGCTAAGCACGCTACGCTAAAACCAAGCCAGAAACGTGCACTTCACCTTCACGGTTCACCTCGTATCTATCTGGAAGAAGTGAAGTACACAGTACAGCTTCTGATCAAAGCACCCGAGTTCAACGTCGACCGCCAGAACTACCGCCATCGATATTAACATCAACTCGGCTTGGCTCGCGTCCAATCTGTGACCGCTTTGTCGAACGAAGGATCTGCACACAGCGATGCTTGGTTGCTAGAACCCGCCCAAACTTCTTGATCCGGGAGGGATTGCAGAGATGCAGGCCCAGGCTTCGCAAAGGTCGATTCAACGGAGGTCACCTGTTACTGATCCAGCACCTCCTCCATCCGAACTGGCAAATCTGGTTCGGCCGATGTCTCCTCCTGTTAACGTTCCACATCCGCGAGCCTCGACTTCATCCGCGACCTCGAACCAGAGTGGCAGCATGAGTAGGAGGCACAATGTATGTTCAACACCGGCAGAGGAATCAAGAACCCGAGGTTTCGGTTGCTTATATTTGAATAATTGCCAGAGGTGCTAATATGTCCGTCTTCGTAGGCCGGTCAAACCTCCCAGAGTGGCCAAAGTGCGCCTCCACTATCTCAGATCGAAAAGAGTGTGACCCATCTCCTCGTCGCTACGAAGCAGCTCCTCGAAACCCTCACGCAATGGTCTCGACACCAGGCAACAGATGCGCAAGTATCCGATGTATACGTAAGATTGGGATATGAGTTCAACATTGCGTGCAGAGCTTTCACGGCGATCAACGTCGATACAGCAGACCTGGGCAACGTTCCAGAGCTATTACGGCACATCCTCGAGTCAACACTTAGTCAGGAAGCAAGCGTCGAAAGCTTAGAGAAATACCTTCCCCGAATCAGAGATATCATTATTAATTTACTGCACGGCTTGAAACGAAAGCAGCAGAAGCTCCGACAGAAGCAGTCGCGGGATGCTCAAAATGGAGAGGCACCCTTGCCCAGGAATGTCAGTGTCAGCAGCGCTGGGAGTGCCAATACCGGGCTCACTACGCTCCTAGATCAGGGACTCTCAAATAACTTTCATGGTGATGGCAATGCAGCAGATAACCGGGATAGCTCGGCGTCAATAGCAAATTCGGGTGGGGTGCCGCCGCGGACATCTTCAGCAACCACGGGCCGGCGGGGCTTCCCCTCAAGGGGTCAATCTCGCGATTCCACATCTTCTGGCCAGTCATCATTATCAAGCACAACAATGCAGAATATGCCTGTCCTTCCACCATATGCTGGAGAAGAAGGACGGGCGCCCGCTCGTGCAGTCTCAGGGGAGTTTAGCGTGGATTCCTTCCCACCACCTCCTCCGCCACCAAAGCAGCAAAATGCCCTTGCAGCCTTGCAGCGAGGCGGAGATCTCGAGAGACGAGCGTCGAGAAGATACTCGGCGTACCAGCTATCCAAGCATCTTGGTGCATCTCCCAATGGTTTGCCTATGCTTCCACCCACGCAGAATTCGCCCATACCAAACAGGGGCCGGAATGATGCTCGAGAATCTATGAGAGCAGTTCAAACTCGAGGAGACCAAGGACACAAGCGCCAAAATTCCAGTCGGATAGTCGCTGACGTCTCACCAGCACGGGTCTCAAGGCAAAGCCCGGACGAAGTGACAAGACCTCAGGTGTTAGAACCTCCTAACGAAGCAGGACGGAATGATAGTCCAATAGCGAAGACTCCGGACGACAAGCTCAGGAAATCCTTCGACTTCGAGGGCCCAAGCGCAACTTTACAAGGACCCCCTACTGGTGCCCCAGATGCCCTTCCAGCATTCTCTCCGGTAGAAACTGGGAGAAAAGATAACGGGAGTCCAACACAAACCCAACGGCCTAGCACATCAACAAATGAGAGTGGAAGCCAAGAAAGACAATTTACACCAGAACAATCGCCTCCTCCTGACAAAGAGTTAACACTTTTCCTGCAATACAAAACAAAAGTGAAGAAGTTTGTCCTGGCAGATGGGTACAAGGATCTTTCTATTGCACGACTACAGCTGGCCTTCATAGAGAAATTCGCTTGGAATACTCATAACAATGGAGTTGACCTGCCAGAGATCTATATTCAGGATCCTGTGTCTGGTGTGCGGCATGAGCTTGAGGATCTCAATGATGTCAAAGATCGGTCTGTGCTTGTTTTAAATATAGAGATCCTGGACGAGGTAAAACGGCATATTGACGATGGCATTGGGGGGCTAAAGCGAATCGTCGAAGGCGTGAAAACGGCAGTTGATGATCAGCAAGCCAGCATACAACGGGTTTCGGATCGTCAGCAAGATGCTGCAAAAGAGATAGCGCGGCTAGCTGCTGCTAGGCCTGTTTCGGTGCAGCCGTCCATTATGCGCAACCAACAGGTGAACGGTTCAACTTCAAACCTATCGAAAGTCAATAGTGATGATCAAATGAGCGAGGTCCAGAGTCTACGCCGAGACCTGGCTGTTCTGCGACAGACATATTCCGCCTTCCAATCCGACATTCAGAGTTCAATGTCTCTCATCCGCACAAAAGCCAACTCAGTCAAGAGTGTCGCTATCAAAGCAGCTATTCCCGACATTGAAGGCGAATCTGGCCGTGCCTATGTCAATGCTGGTAAGAAGACGCTCAATGATGATTCTGACAGACTTGTTGGCCAAGTCGACGACCTCCAGGATATTGTCGAAGATCTCCGTAAAGATGTTGTTCTTCGTGGTGTCCGGCCCCTTCCCCGCCAACTTGAGACAGTGGCCAAGGATATAGCTCAGGCCACCCAAGAGCTCAAGAAGATGCAGGACTTCCTTAAACGTGAGCGTCCTGTTTGGACCAAGATCTGGGAGAAGGAGTTGGAGACCGTATGTAATGATCGTGAGGAGATGACCATGCAGGAAGACCTGGCTGCAGATCTACAAGATGATCTTGAGAAGGCAAGTCAAACCTTTGCGCTTGTTGAACAGGCTACAAAGGAACAGATGAAGGATTCCCCTGGTACAACTCGTGTGCGCGGGCTGAATCACGTGGTTGCTGCTGATCCCGCAATTGCGAAAGAGGGCGTGCTTGACGAAGTTCGTGCTCTTCAACCCAACCACGAGAATCGCTTGGAAGCCATTGAGCGTGCGGAAAAGCTGCGCCAGAAAGAGCTCGAGAGTCGACGAGGAGGCGAGTTTCAAAAAGAGCTCGGGAACTTCGTGGAGGAAGGCAGATTGAAGAAAGCCGGTGGCTACGAGGAGGTCGAAAGAGCGAGAAGGGCGAAAGATGAAAAGATCCGGAAAGAGGTTTGGGAAAGACAGAACGGAATGACGCAAGCAGATGCTGTTGCAGAACCGACTCCAGAGCCCACTGACGAAGAGCTTGGCAATGAGGGAGCTGGTGAGACTGCGGGTGAGACTGCGGGCGAGACCGCAGGCGAGAATACAGAGGAAGCTCCTCCAGTTGATATCTGAGAGGTGTGAGGGGAGACGGAAGAGGGAGATGACCTGCAGCTTCAATTCTTGTCACTTATTTCCTTATCTGCCCTTTTCTTTAATTGCTTTATGATTGGGTTCCGGATGATGGTTTACGTTGCGTTCTTTCAGCAGGGCGTTCGGCAAAGGAGGGATTACCCATTCTGTCAAGTACAGAATAGCCCTCTTCAGAATGAGGAAGGGATTCAAGGGCGATTTGCTATTTGCTTTTGCCCCCCAAATTTAGTTCTCAAACCCCGTTTTAAACATACAAGGAGTAAATTGAAATGTAGTGCCTGCTGCTCCCCTACGTGGTATTAGCATCCCTTTGGGAATAAACCCATTTCGTATAGATATCCACCCACCTCGTTCCCAGCTTCGTCCGCTTCTTCTCTCCCCTACAAGAGATAGATACCTTTACCCCTCATGATGATAAGAGCATGCTCCACGAATAAGCCTGCCCATCCCGAATTCCCAATTCTCCCCTTTTCTCCTAAGCGAGATAGCTAGCTCCTCAGGCACACGATCTAAACAAAAGGATTGCGATTTTGGGAACCCTTAATCAACTTTTCCTCTTCTTAATTATCAATTTAATTTTTACTTTATAGGTATGTAGGTACCTTAGGTATATTGTATGTGGAAGAACACAAACAAGCAAGCAAGCAAGCAAGCAACAGCCTCGACCTCTGCACTAGAAACGCGTCTAGCCAGACGTATCTAGGTATAAAACTGAACAACAGGCAATGGTATCCAAGCTTTGCAAAACAAACCAACCGAACACACAAACAAACAAGGACGTCAGAAAGGAGCAAGCAAGCAAGCATTTTTTGAAAACCGTGAGAACGCCTCTATCCAAGCCGCATATACATCATGATAACAGCAATTACTTTTTCGTGTGCTGCAACAAATCATTATGGTAGACGGTAAATACGTAAATGCAAAGATATCCCCGGAGGGATGGAGGGATGGGGGGGAGCTCTAGACGGCATCCTCGCCATCCTTGGTCGGGGTTTCCTCTTCGTTCGGCACGACGGGCAGTATCGGGGCGAAGGAACTGTGGCTTCGGATGCGGGCGCCGTAGATGTAGAAGCAGATGGGGATGGGGACGAGGCACAGAGCGACGCAGCCGAGGAGCGTGCCGGCCCAGTTGACACCCATGCCATTGAACATGTACGTGGCGAAGAGCGGGAAGCCGGCGCCAGCCAGAGAACGCAGGAAGGTGTTGGCGGCAATAGCGGAGGCGGCGAACATGAGGTAGGCGTCGACGAGGTAGTTGAGGGATTGCAGGAAGATGGACAGGAGCCCAAAACCGGTCATGAGCCCAGAAAGAGTGGGCACAATCCAGTGGATGTCGGCGCGGTAGCCAGACCAGCCGAACCAGAAGAGACCGCCGGCGAAGGACATACCGCCGTAGATGACAGGTGGCAGACGCCATTCTGGAATCGGGATGTTGTTATTAGCCTGGAGCTTACGATTGTAGCTTGCTTGGGTCAGCACGATATAGAGACCGGCCAAGAGCATCCCGATGATCATCCCGAAGTATGGCAGTCCTCCAACACCACCGTTGAAGCCATGGATCTGCTGGAAAACGATCGGGTAGGCCGTTAGGAACAGGTAGAGTAAACCATAGATGAAAGCCATGTAAATACTCAGAAGCAGGACGATGGGTTCTGTGGCCAGAAGACGCATGGGACGCGAGAAGTTCTTGTTGATCAACTCGCGGAAGTCGATCTCGATTTCTTCCTGCTTGGCGTGAATGCCCCAGTTCTTGGTTCTTCTACGGAGCTCGGCGGCTTTGGAAACCAGGATGATGGGAGGGTAAGTCTCTTCGAGGAAGAACAGATCGAGGAAGAAGGCAAGGAAGCCCATGATAGCCACGATCCTGTAGACCCTGTTTAGTAGTTGCCCTTCTATCTTCAGGGGTTTGACTCACCATTCAGTCCAACGCCAACCCAAGTAACTCTCCACGATAAATCCTCCAATAAAGGGTGCAAGAAGAGGACCAGTGAAAACGGTCATCGAGAAGACTGTGATAGCTAAGCCACGAGTTCTATTGTCAAACATGTCGGAGAAGACGGCAGCCACAACAGCCAAAGGACAAGCCCCGAATATACCTGAATCAAGGTCAATACTTTGCAGTGCACAAGAGCTCTAAGAGAGCGTACCTCCCCAGAATCGACAAAGCAAGACCGTTTGAAGATCTTTGCCAGCAGCGACGGCCACCTGGAAGATTGAAAATCCAAACATGGATAGAATCAAAGGCAGCCGTCGGCCTTTCAGCTCACTGAGAGGGGCCCAGAAGACGGGACCCAAGGCAAATCCAAGAACATAGAACGAGAGGCCGAGCAATCCCACTTCGCTGGAGACATGGAATTTATGGGCCACTGCTCTTGTTGCGGTGGAGAAGATACTAGAGGTAAAGGCCGACACAAGAGTCGTATAACCAAGGATGACGGCCGTAAAGATTCTAATCGAGGTTAGACTTGACGTTGATGTGACGGGAGGGGTGGCCGCAGAGGGCATACATACTTCTTCTTCAACGGCCAATTCTGGGCGTGCAATGGATCGTCTGGCCCGACGAACTCAACCACATACTGCTCCTGGTCGGGCAACGGAGGCGGATAAGGCTTGCCCAGTCCCATCTCAGGGAGAGGTCTCCTACTCTCCCTGCTCTTCCCCGTCTCGCTCTTTCCGATGGTGCCAGCATGTTGGCTCTTCGCGGTTTGAATTCTGCTCAGGACGGTCGGGTTGCGCTCCAGGTCGCCCTGTGTGGACGTGCGGCTCATGCCATTTTCTCTGCGAGCAGCTGAGCCGCCGGACGAACTTGAGGTGGTCGAGGCGTTGGTTGGGAGGCGCTCGATCTCATGCGTCAGTCGTCTTGGCGGAAAGGTCTCAGGAAATCTCTCCGGCGACGCCTGGCGCTCAGCCTTTTCCATCTCCTGATCAGCGATATCCATCTTGGCGGTCAGGAATGGGCGCGACGTATGCAATGAATGAATCGATGTACGAATGAAGCACGCAAGTCAGTCAATCAAACAAAGACGCAGCAAAAATACAAGGCAAGAGGGCGGGAGAGCGAGAGAACAAGAGGCAAGACTCTTGAGCAAAGGAGAGAGCGCGCGCTTCCTGGGTCTACAGCGGCGCAATCCCATTATTATTCTTTTTCTTTTATTTACTTCTTTTCTGAACAGGCCAAGGTCAGCCCGGGGGCCCACTGCGGCGTTTGCATTAAAGGACATTAGGCCTTGAAACCCCGGCACGGCCTTCCGTTGCTGGGGTGCAACTGGGGACCGTCAGGTAGCAATGGGGCCATGCCGGGCTGGAAGGGCCCTGGCGGGCTGGAATCTATGGCTATATGTCGACACGTGCGGTGATTGTTGATGGCACGGTGAAGCGTAGTGCGGTTGCTGGATCTCAACTCCTCAAGAGAGGGCAACAAAGAAGGTTGCACAGCAAGAGAGTGGCGACCTTGATCATGAATGGGGAAGAACTGTACACAAGAGCAACTGCCGTTCTTCTCAAGCGGATTACAGATGGTTTGTTACGACCGATGAAAAAAGGCAAAAGAAAGACCAGGAATCGACCAGGAACCGACCGAAAAAAGTGACCAAAAAAGCCAAACCCCGATCCAGGGCACTGGTCACGGCACTTATCTGATTCTATACGTACGTTATACGGTTATTTGCGGCCCAATGTGACAGCACGAAATCCACAGGACCACAGCCTACACCGATAGCGAGATATAAGGTAGACTTGGCTCTCTTGTGTGTTGCCACAGTCGAGAGAGAGCAACCTCGCTCTATCATGCTTCTCTCACAATCATCCCCCAATTTACCACAACCATGGGCGCTATGAAAGCGCTGCCGACGGTCGACGATCTCCCGGATCGATCTCCATAAAACAATGAACTGCTCCTATAGCATTTAAACAACCAGCTGGTCACTGACTCAAAGAATGGCTTCAGCACATGCACGGAAGGCTCAAGGAGTCGACGTTAAAACTGTTATCGATTAGCGCATCCGCGCGTGAAGTAAGGTTACTTTGCTAGGCAGTGTACTTTAAAAGCCAAAGGTACTTTAACTTCGCTACCACATTCCTACTGCTGGAGAGCGAGAGCTAGGCCGTCTGTCACTCGCTCTGACGGATGGCCCGAGAGACCGAAGGCCGAAGGGCCAGGGAAGAAGAGCGTACTAGGCCCAAGGCAGAGGCCACCCGCTCAACAACCTTACTCGTACGTACGATCATCAATGTGTCGGTGGGTAACTTCGGTACTTGGTAAAGGGTAAATACGAAGGGAATCTCAGCGTCTGGCCTCTGGAAATGCATCTGGCCACTGGCCAGTATCTACGGAGTACACATTCACATGATTACAGTAAGTAAGGATCATGCTTCTAGAAGCTTCTAGTCAATTGCTGTTCTCTAGGATACCAGCGTTTCCTTTTACCTCTCGCCATTCCCGATTCTACGTTCTATTTCCATAGCTGCACCGCCTTGTTGTTGAAGCCTCTCATTTGTCAGCTGCTGTTAAAGTAAGGATTCTCTGCCTTAGGCTGCCATACCAAAGATAACCGTGGGTCTTCGATTACCTGGTAGGTACTGTACCTTATGGCTCCACCAAAGAGATCTTGACGCTCTCTTCCGATCGTGACGGTACGCAGCAGCACAGAGTCCGCCAGAGGTAAGTGAAGCAAACCGAATCGACTGTCCCGAGGCTGCGGATCATCAGAAGGCTGAAGCCTTACCCGCCCCCAAGACGGAGCGAGCGCAGCCCTGTCGGTTGCGGCTTATGCGCGGTTCCTGGACCCGACTCCGCGTTTAGGGAGCGCTGTTAGTGTACAGAATTCATAACCGTCGACTTCCCCAGCTGTCATTGATGGCGCACAACGCCATAGACTCAACTCTACCAGGGCACATACTTTAGGAGCACGGAGACTGAAAAATAAAATGGCGGACTCGGCGCAGGAGCCTCTGATGCGCCATGAGTCTGAGGGGAATGGACGGCCAAGCGACGACGTAGATCCCGCCGATGTCTCTCTGCTGCTTGAGAAGAGCCTGCGCCAACCTGGCCTTTTCGTCTGGTTGCTTACCTTCTCTGCAGGAATCAGCGGCCTGCTTTTTGGGTGTAGGTTGGATTCAAGGGCTGTCTGGAGAACTTGCTAACGGCGTGGTATTTCAGACGACACCGGCGTCATCTCAGCAACTTTGGTCTCGATCAATAGCTCTCTTGGCCACCCCTTGACCACTCTCGACAAATCACTCATAACATCTGCGACTGCCCTCTTTGCGCTCCTCGTCTCTCCTGTTTCCGGAATTCTCGCAGACAGTCTTGGCCGCAAGAGAGTGGTTCTTCTCGCGGATTCCGCCTTCATTCTTGGGGCCGTACTGCAGGCGTCAACTTCCTCTGTTTGGGGCATGATCGCTGGCCGTTCAGTCGTTGGTCTAGCCGTCGGCGCGGGGAGTTTTGTTGCTCCCCTTTACATAGCGGAGCTTGCGCCTGCGCCATTCAGAGGTCGCTTGGTTACCCTGAACGTTCTCTTTGTGACACTCGGCCAGGTAATAGCATACATTGTAGGCTGGGCCTTCGTACAATGGGGAAGTCAGAATACTGGCTGGAGATGGATGGTTGGACTCGGTGCTTTGCCAGCTGCGATACAAGTCCTTGTTATGCTAGTGATGCCGGAATCGCCAAGATGGCTTGTCAAAGTGGGACGGAACGATGAAGCCAGGAGCGTGCTGAACAAATCCCTGGGCGCTGAGATTGACGCACAGCCATTGGTAAATGCTGTCTTGAAAAGCATTGAGAATGAGGTCCGAGAGGAGGAAGAGGCATTGAGGGGGAGAATGCGAGGACAGAAGAATGGCGGCCTTCCATGGGTCTCCGGTATGAAAGATAACTGGAATGAACTCTTTAGGGTCGGTGGGAATAGGAGGGCTCTTGCTATTGCTTGCTTGTTGCAAGGCCTCCAACAGTTTTGTGGATTCGTAAGCTTACCTTCCCATCGAGCTTGACCAAAACTGACAGAAAAATTGTGTAGAACTCCTTGATGTACTTCTCTGCGACCATCTTCACTCTCCTGGGCTTCTCTAGTCCAACCTTGACATCACTTTCGGTGGCAATGACCAACTTCATCATGACATGCGCAGCTCTACTACTAATAGACCGCGTTGGAAGAAGACGCATACTACTGGCGTCAATTCCTATCATGGCACTCGGTCTACTCATTTGTAGTATTGGGTTCTGTTACATCACTTTTCCCGCTGATCTCAACTCCGAGAACCCTTCATCGACAGCGTCGGCCTACGACGAAGTCCCCTTGTCACAGCGCACGGCACCATTGCTCGTGCTCATTAGCATTATGCTGTACGTGGGTGCTTTTGCCCTGGGCCTCGGCAATGTTCCATGGATGCAAAGCGAGCTCTTCCCTCTCAGCGTCCGCTCTTTGGGCTCCGGGCTCAGCACCAGTATTAATTGGGGAGCGAACTTTGTAGTAGGGTTAACATTTTTACCAATGATGGAGTTCTTGACTCCCGCGTGGACTTTTGTTATATACGCTTGTATTTGTGCTGCGGGGTGGCTCTGCATTTGGTTTATCTACCCGGAGACTACTGGGTTGAGTTTAGAGGAGACGGGCGCCTTGCTTGCAGACGGGTGGGGTGTAAAAGAGAGTCTGCAGAGAATGCGGGACAGGAGGTAGCGGGAATGTTGAGTGTAACAGTATATAAAATGTATCTAAAGTGTCAATTAAGACTTACTTTACTTACCTGTTCAACTCTGTCATCAGATGAGTTTTGAGGATGAAGCACCCAAGTAACCTTTACTCTGAACATGGCCTTTTGTGCTCTTAGGGAATCCCTCGAGTCAATTAACAAACCTAGATGTCTTTTGAAGTTAAAGTGCTGGCTAAGAGATTCTTTTGATTACTTCTTCAGTTCTGATAATTGGGTGAGTTTTCAGGACACCTGCAAAAGTTCATAGTTCAAGTGAGATAGCAGCCGGGCAGAAAGACAGTCGCTCTGCCGCAGTATTCGTTATCTCGAGTCGATGATCATAGTTTCTCATCATACACCACATGTCGTAGCATGAAAGGCTATGGAATATACCTAGGTAGGTTCATTTACTGGAAACTGTTCGGCATTTTTCTTGAAGAAAAAAAGCCGCGGAAAAAAGGGGGGGGGGGAGACGGCTTCTTGTGCAGAAGAATCTGAGGCATCGTGATCACCTCGGAGAAAGTTATCCGATTGCCAGGAGACAGTCTCCAGGTGGTAATGAAGAGTCGATATTTACCTAGGTACTTGCAAACCCCGCAAAGAGTGCTTATCTACTAAAACAGTTTTGCTTCATATTTGACTCCCCAACGGAATTCTGCGGGGATCCCACAGACGCAAAATGCCATTGCGTCAGCCTCATTCGGTCATTGAACCGTTTTGATGTGGCCTGACAGCCAATCATGGTTCGTCACCATTGAACCTCGGCATTTTTGCTAGCGTCCAGGAACCTTGCGTAGCGACGACCCCACGAGGACTGGGAATTGACCGAGGGCCGACAAGCGACAGTCATGAGGTATGATTATTTAGGTACCTCATGCTCTGCTCCAGTTTTACCTACCTCCTGTATCCATACTGATCATTCAAAATGTCTCCTCCTCAATGGGTAAAAGATTTGAAGCCTTCTCCCCCGCAGGGTTCCGACCTCATTGCGACGGAGCGGGAGAAGTCCCAGATCTCTGTTGATAAACTATCAAACTTTCTCTTTACCAAAGAGGCTTTGGAGAGGCAAGACCGTATTCTTGCTATCTTGAAATCCGAGGAGGTCTTCGACAAGTCGCAGAATTATTTCCATGGACGAGTCGACAGATTCAAGGTCGCCCTGGCCCGGGCTAAAAGACTGAGGCAATTGCAAGTTAAGCACAACTGGAATGCCGATGATTATAATGTTGCCAATGAATTGATCAGTGAACCTGGGCCTTATGGATTACATTCAAGCATGTATCTGGTATGCTGCTCCCAAAGACTCGCTAAGATAGCTAGCTGACCTTTCTTCCAGACAACTCTTCGTGGTCAGGGCACTCCTGAGCAGCAAAAGCTCTTCCTCGAACCCGCCGAAAATTACGAACACATTGGATGCTATGCACAAACTGAATTGGGACATGGTTCGAACGTTCGAGGGCTGGAGACTACTGCCACATGGGATCCCCAGGACAAGACGTTTATCCTCCACTCGCCCCATTTGACGTCAGCAAAATGGTGGATTGGATCTCTAGGACGAACCGCAAATCACGCTGTTGTGATGGCACAACTAATCATTAATGGCAAGAAATACGGTCCACATCCGTTCGTTTGCCAGATCAGGGACATGAAGACTCACGAACCCTTGGAGGGGGTCTACGTTGGTGATATTGGACCCAAATTTGGTTACAACACCATGGACAATGGTTTCCTCCTCCTCAACCACGTTAAGATCCCACATGTCAACATGTTGGCACGTTTCTCAAGGGTGGATCCCGAGACTAGCAAATATGTGCACCCTTCGTCCCCGAGCTTAATATATGGTACTCTTACCTGGGTGCGATCAACGATCGTTCTTCAATCTGGCGGGGTTCTAGCTCGTGGTGTCACGATCGCGACACGATACGCCGCCGTGCGCCGCCAATTCCAAGACCGGGACGCTCCCTCTGGTACCCTTGGCGAGAACCAAGTCCTTAACTATACAATGGTTCAATTCCGACTTCTCCCTTTGCTCGCAGCAACTTTTGCACTCCATTTCACTGGGAAGGCAATGATGGCTCTGTACCAAGAGAACCAGAAGAAGATGCAGTTAGACGCCGAGAGGATTTCAAACACAGCAAGAGGCGCAGGACCAGAAGAAACCCACTCGGGCAGTGATCTTCTGGCCGATTTGCATGCCACTTCTTGCGGGTTGAAGGCGCTTGGCAGTACTACTGCTGCGGAAGGCTTGGAAGTCTGTCGCAGAGCTTGTGGAGGCCATGGATATTCCAGCTTTTCAGGAATTGGTACGTTTCCCGCTTCTCTGGTCATGCACTTTGAACTGATATTTGCGGTATGATAGGGTCCTGGTATGCAGACTATCTTCCCACAACTACGTGGGAGGGTGACAACTACATGTTAACCCAACAGGTTGCCCGATATGTGAGCTCCGCGTCGTCATTCCCCAAAGAAGCTTCGGATGGCTAACAGATCTCCTAGCTACTAAAATCGGCGCGTGCTGTTCTGAAAGGAAAGGCCCCCAACAATGATACGACGAAGATCTTCACGACGTTCCTCCAGAAGCAAGACATGGGTGCCGCTCATGATATTCTTGGCTCTGACAGCGATCTCGTTGCTGCCTTTGCATGGCGTACATCATTCTTGACCTTCGAGGCCCTCAAGCACCGAGATGCCGAGAAGAACTCCTGGAATTCTCTCCTGGTAGATTTCTGGCGTCTCAGCACTGCTCACTCCCAGTACCTCGTAGTCAAGAACTTTTACGAGGCTCTGCAGAGCGAGAGCCTCCAGCGTGAGCTTGATCCCGTCACAATAGACGTTCTCCACAAGCTCTTCCGCCTATATGCCTTGACCACTCTCGAGAAAGAGGCATCGGAATTTTATTCCTCAGCCGCGGTAACTGTTCGACAGATCCAGCTTGCAAGGACCAAGACGGTGATGAAGCTACTTGAAGAAGTCAGACCTCACGCCTTAAGACTGGTCGATGCATGGCATTTCTCTGACTGGCAGCTCGACTCCTCGCTGGGCCGAAAGGACGGAAAGGTTTATGAAGACTTGTTCTACCGGGCATCGCAGCTGAACCCGTTGAACGGACTGACTATAGACCCCTACCCGGATAGTGGAGTCTTGATCAAGAATGATGAGAGTGCAAAGTTCAAGAGCAAGCTGTAAACCATAGATCATGGGATAGAAAGGTCAAAGAGCAAGGTGAAGACAGGTTATATAGACTAGACTACTGCGTATAGAGGTTGGCAAGATAGACTAGACTAGATAGAGATAGGGAGATGGAGATATCTTGGGAAGAAACGGTTTTGATGGATCATGGCTCCGTCTTTGGCGTATGTTACTATGAATATACGGACTGAACGTCCTAGATAATCTAGACGATGCACATCTTTACCATAAATGTACTGCCTCGCTTTGACCGGGACAGAGTAAAGCCGTAGTACGCCGTAGAGCACTCGGTGATTTGCTCGAAGGGCACGCGGCTTGCCCCATTTTCCATCGGCCTTCAACTGCTCGGGCCCGCCCGGCTCCCGTCCAGATGGCAGTCACGAGAAAGGGGATTTCCGGGACCGCCATAATATCATGCTGAACTACTGGACGATCAAACCAGTCGAAACCATGGACGTTTCCAAGCAATTATCTCCCACGGGAAAATCGACAGCGTCGTAAGCATATACAGTTATATGTACTGTACAGTACACGTACTCTACATATCTCCCCATCTCCCGTCGTCCAAGCATCATCCAGCCGATCACCGATCCTATGCTGTCACGCGCGGCGGCGTCGGCTCGAGCCCTCGTGGCTTTCGCTCCCCTGGTCGCGATGGCGATCGCAATAGGAACCGGGGTTAGGTACTTGGGTATCTGTGCGGTCTCGTCACGACGATGACACTATCATAACCTGAGAGGACCAGGAAGGACTCCAGGGTTATTCCCGAAGCCGAGCAGCAAAGCGCCAGCCATGAGGTCGAGGAAGTCCGAGGGCCCTTGATCAGCCAGCCGAACGCATCCGTGCTGGGCAGAGCCGAGCAGAGCATGTGAGGTAATGTAATATATCTTGCCCGATCGAAAATCGTTAACGCGCGGGCGCTCTGGCTGATGGATCGGGAAGGGGATCGCCGGCGAAGAATCAATAGATGCGATGTATCACGTAGGGAACCCTTCTGTGCAGCGTGTTTGTGCCCTTCTACGCGCGCAACTGGGGCCGATCGACCAGCACAAGGCGCTGCGAAGCATTCAATCAATCTATCTGCCTGCATGTGAGTCAAACCCTATCTCGTGGCCCTGAGAAGGCATCTGACATGGGAATCTAAACGATCGACTGTCCGGTCTGTGTGGCACGATGCTATCCAACGACATACATATCGCGATCTCGAGTATCGTCCTCTGCAGAAAAGTCGAGACCGGGCTCAAAATGGACGGCATCGTGCCTCCGCATCTAGACCAGACCAACTTTCCAACGCCGTGGCGCCTGACGGGTCTCTCCAGACTCCAGAGTCCAAATGGTTGGGTCCAGGTCAGGGGACCTTTATAAGGCTTCATTCCTTCAACCATCATCCCAGTGGGATTGAGCCGCTGGGCAGGAACCAGAGCGGCACAACACCAATTGAGGTCATACTACTCCATACACAGCAAATGCGTGCTGCTAGTCTACCACACTGTCTCACCCAATCACACAACATCACTGCCACGGTACTTGAGAAGGTTTACAGTAGTGAACCCTGCTCTAATAACAACCGTGATCTATGAGGAAAGAGAGTTTGCATTGTTGTCAGACGAAATAGCGCGCGGCCAGATTCTAGATGCCTCTGCGGTAACCCGTTGACAGCGACACTACTGGCCGTTTCTATCATGGAGCCTCCATGAATCCACTACACAGGCGACCCAGTACCGTCCTGTCTGGGCTCTGAGCTCTCGTACGCATTGAATTTTGATAGCTTGTTGTCCGTACAACTTGTATACTTACTACTATACTTAGTACTGTGTACCCACAGACCACAGGAGACTGGCCAGTAGCAATAGCCTCCAGGAGCAAGGGCTCAAGGAGAGCACGTTGTACAACCTTGAAGGGTCTATGAATCCGCGTGGTTTGGCTCTCGTGCCCTTGGCTAGGTGGAGAATCTGAAGATACGAAAGACATGTAAAACAAAATGATGATTGACGTTGGACTATTGAATTTTGAACGCCAGAGATTAACTTAAGGTTTTTCTCAGTGGGATACGTATGTCGTCCAATTACCAGGCGGCAAGGAGAGAAAAAGGATGGGGCAGCAGCTCAAGGCCCGATCTTACCCAGTAACCCAGGTAAGGAATCTTGTTTCTGGACGACAAATAGATGATCGCAATACATTTGGCGATGCCTCGGGAAAAAGGAAAAGGCGCTATGCGGGGGGAGAAGTGGGCTTGGTGGGTAGGGTGCTAGGGTCGTGCCGGCAAGGGACGGCGTCGGGACTGCCGAGCTTGCGGAGGATTCGTGGATATAGCAGAGGGGCCCAATTATCACCCATAATAATACTGAAATAACAACGTGGTGAGGGCCAGGGATTCAGGATCGAGCGAGGGGTCCTGGAAAAGCATCCGTGCACCCGATCTGCCGGTCAACCTGTGTTCAGCGCAAGCCACCCCCGGGTTTCGTTGCCCCTGTAGCTGTAAGCGATCGAGTCCTCTTTTGTCTCAGGGAAAGCCGAACGTGCCAGCGTGAGGGCAATGTGAGGTAGACCGTAGAGGCTCAAGAATGTGAACACACTGCACCAGACCAGGCTGTAAGCAGTGTACCTTCCGGAGCATAGTCGCCGGGAGGAGGGCCGTTCCTGCATAAACGTACAGAACGAGGATCAGCGCGCGCTGCACAGGGCTTAAGGCCCCAGAATGCTTGTTGGTGCTGGGGCATTGCAGGATTTCAAAGGACTCACTGCCGCTGCCAAGTTCCATGCCTCAATTGCTGGCCTGAATAGAGGGAGAAAGCAGGTTGTTCAGGCTTCTCTACGTACGAACGTACTCCTCAGCAGCTTCAGAGGCCATTCACCCCCTGCCGGTCCACCCAAAACGGTGCTGATCGGGATGGCAGATCTCGCTCCAATCTGAAGGGTCAATCGCTGATAGTCTGATAGGCTGTCACGCACAGGAGAAAGCCCTCGGGATAATTGCTTGCCCTTGCATGGCCTTTGTCGCCCTCGCTTTGTGGCCAATGACCACCCTCGTCGGCGCTGTCCCAGTCCCAGCTTGCAACTTGCAAGTCGCGGTCCCGCTCTCAATTCAGCCACTGAGCCAGTCTGGGCTCTGTGCCGTGTTGTCTAAATCTTCCAAGCATCTTCCTTGCCAGCCCAACCCGTGCCTCTGCCGCTTGGTGAGGCTAAGAGCGGAGTGATTGGAGAAAAGGAGCAAAAGAAGCTGACGGTCAGAACACTAATGCCGACTATCGATTATTTCAGATTATTTCGCGGTCCGCAAGCATCCAGGGCCGAGGGGAGGAGCACAACCATCCCTGTGCCAGGCGTTGACTCCCCAGATCATCTAATCATCGCCGGGGGGGGGACCCTCCGTACCACCTTTGTGAACGCGACTGTGAAAGAGAAGGTTTATAATAAGGTAATCCCATGTGCCATTCAGGCGCTCATACCAACTCTTGTCATCCCTTTCGACCTTTAAGATTCTCACGCTCCCTCGAATCTCTGGTTTCTTAACTCTTTTCTCTATTAATATTGTAGTCGATTCTCAAAATTCTCCTGCCGAACTGCAGGTTCTCCGGTCAATATGTCCGTTCTTTTCTACCGCCGCCCAGATTACCTCAGTAAATCTCCGGGCCCAATCACCTCAACCGAATGTGCCCGCTATGTCGAGAGGGCAAAGAGTAAATATTCCCTACATGCATCAAGCTATTGAAAATAACGTCTGAATAGAATCCGAGCGGGCAATCCCCAACGGCCTCTCTTTTGAAGATGTGATGAATCAGAAATCATTACCAGTACGCATCTATCCCCGCGCGCTTTGGGCTCCTGCTAATGGAATATAGCCATGCTCGCTGAATGATTTTATGGACTATCTCGTCTACGTCGAACACAACGCGGAAAACCTCCAATTCTACTTGTGGTACAAGAGCTATGTTCGCCGTTTCAACGAGCTTCCAGAAAAAGAGAAAGCTCTTTCACCGGAATGGATTCCCGAAACTCAGGATGTCCCCAATTTGTCCAAGGATTCGGACCAAGAGGCAAAGAAGCTCAAGAGGAACACGATTGCCGCCATGATGGAAATTGGGTCTGACGCCAACGCCGTAGTAGCCTTCAGTGATGAAAAGGATCTTCTCAGCGCTCGCCACGCCTCAGTAATCAAGGACAATGGAAGTGTCATGGCTCCGTCAATCGCGGATTCCGCAACGACTCTCACAAACTCAGAGGTGACCGCCCAGGCTGGCTTGAAATGGCAACCTTGTACGTCGAACTCATTCGTACCAAGCTCGAGGTGAAGTATCATTACTGACAAAAAATAGTCACCGTCCAACCGATGCGAGATGAAATCAATCGCGTCATGAGGCATTACCTCGCATTTACTGCCCCGCGAGAACTGAACCTCTCGCACAAGGACCGTGCGCAGTGCCTGCACGCTCTCCAACACACGACTCATCCCTCTGCTCTACTCCCTGCTGTCAACATTGCCGAAGCGGCTCTCCGTGGCCAATCACATCCCAACTTCATCCGATGGTCTATCTGCAATGGCAACAAGCCAAAAATCTTCTTCGTCCGTACGATGGGAATCGCACACATCATCCTAGGATTTGTGGTTGCAATCTTACTTATTCTGTCGAAAGCAAGCCGGTGGTACCGGATCTTTGCTGCCCCCGTGTGGTTTATCGGTTTCTCGACCATGGTAGCAGCATATAAAGGACTGTGTGTGATCTTGCACAAATCACACGCTCGCAACCTCCGCCCCTGGGAACAAGACCTCGACTCCGAGATGGGCGAATCTCGAAGAAACTCCTTCTCAAGCACTGAGAACCGTGGCGTCCAGATGGCCTCGCGGACCGACAAGTATAACGATACGGACAGCGACAAAGGCGACAAAGACGACATGTCCTTCCGACCCTCCAGTCTTCAGACCTTTGGCCCCAAGAACAGTTTCGACAACGCACCCTGGGTTGAGAAGTATGCGAAGAGACCACTGCTCAGCAAGGTGTTTGAGAAGAGTGTGTGGACACAGGATGAGGCGCTGCGACTTCTGCAGGATAAAATTGTCCTGGGTGCGAACCTGTGGGCCTTGATACTCACAGTTTCTTTAACTGTTGGGTTCGTGGCCATCCCGAAAGGGAACTTCTATTGATTTATGTTTTTCAAAAAGTATGACCTGGGGAGTTCTTTTTATACCCATTAATGTCTGAAATACCCTTCATGTATATACTTGCCACCGGCGCGACGATCTTTTACCATCGGAATTTCAGATGGGGGAATTTCCTTTGATGTCTTAAGATAGGACCTAAGGGGCCACCCTTTATACCCATTACGTAGCTATACCATTCATGTACATAATTAAACATATTATTTTTATCGGCTGAGAATCATTTTCCATTGAATGCCTTATATGAATCCTGAATATGAGGGGTTGGAAAAATGAAATATCATCACGTGCTCACGCAGCAGTTGACTTGTGATAAAGGGATAGATAGTACCTACCTTGCCCCTGGGCAGCTCGATTTCTCTGATCACTTAGACATCACGATTCTCGAAATCTCCCTCTCAGTTCTTAGTGGCAGGGAGTGACAGATCTGGAATCTCAAAGATGTATTTCTCTATGCCACAAACAACACCCCATTTTTGAAACTCAAACATCCCTCCCTCTTAGCCCCGCCCGCATCCTGTGGAAAGCTAGCGTCATAAGACAGTCCAAGTGGACGCTCTTATCATCAACTTCCTCAACCCCATCACCATCTATCAATTTCGCTGTGACTCTCTATCAACCATCTTCGCTTCCTCGGTCATTGATATATCACTGTTTAATTCCCCGTCGAGTCCTGTTCCAATAATGGCTCCTTCAGCTACGGCAGAGATCGTCGCTCCAGTCTCCAAGGTGGAGGTTGCTGCTCAGCCTGAGAAACATGTTCATGGGGCGGAGGACAAGACACCTCTCGAAGCCATTAGCCATGGCCCTTTGATTCAGCCAGGTATGCGGCTTGTTTCTTTGGCGTCGAATTGAAGCCAAACAATGCTTTCGTCTTGATCAAATCTCCCACTTAAAGACTTTTGAGTCTGAAGTGGACTACATCTCATACGATACATGTATTTTGAATCGAAATTTAAATTATACTGTGTTATTTGCAAAAGTATCAAAACTTCAACATCCCAGCGCTCTTTATCGGTCCTCGATAGGTCTCAGCGAGACATGACACTCTTTCCAGCTGCCTCTATCATGAATCTTCACTTTCTCACTAGAGTCTTAACACACGTCAGGCATTCCTGTGTTCTCCTCCCATGCTGAACACCGTCGTCACATCTTAATCCATACCGCAGCCGTCTTCCGCGATTTTGCCAGGAAAGGGTTCACCGAAGGAATGAGCGGCCATATCTCTGTACGCGATCCAGAGTTTCCGAACTACATCTGGATGAACCCGCTCGGCAGGCACTTTGGCTTGATGACCGCGGGCGATTTGATATGTCTAGATGTTTTCTCCGGAAAAGTAGTTGGGGGGAATAAGGTACGTGAAATCCCCCCTTTTCCTGAAGCGATGGTTCGTTCTAATGAGATTCCAGACGAAAACAGCAAATGCGGCAGGTTTCTTCATCCATTCTGAAATCCACAAGGCTCGCCCAGATGTTCATGCCGTGTGTCATGCCCATACAATAGCCGGTCGAGCCTGGTCAGCATTCGGCACCGGCCTTGATATGTTAAATCAGGACATATGCAACCTGTATAACAGTATCGCAGTGTACAAGTCATACGGCGGGATCGTATTCGCAGAAGAGGAAGGCAGAAACATTGCTCGAGCTCTAGGTGAAAAGAACAAGGTATTCTCGTTGTCCTGGCTACTCCCTTCGACTTGCATTGTCTCTAATCAGATCAGGTCGCTATTCTCCTTAACCACGGTCTGTTATCCACAGGTAGCACAGTGGATGAGGCCGGGTTTCTCTTCGGACTCCTCGATCGTGGATGTGCGATGCAGCTGCAGGTCGAAGCCGCTCGCGCTGGGAATCCCGCCCTCGTCAGACACGTCATTAGTGATGAAGAGGCAGCATATAACTTCAAGATGGCGAGTGAGAAGAATGCGCTTTACGCCGAGGCGCAACCGGATATTGAGTATGAGATGGAGATGGCTGGCCCGGGGGTCATAGAGAGGGGAGTTGAGAATATGACTATTGACCATGGACTGTAAGTTGGGAATAGGCTCAGGCATGAATGATAGATTTGGACGAAGTTTGGGTTAATGTCAACAATGTACTCATCATGCCTTGTGGTTTCGTGATCGCTATTTTGTCCAAGAGGGCTCCAGAGTAGTTGATGCTATACCCCACGGCACAATTGCAGACACTGTATATAGAGTAGAACTCATAAGAATATTCGTTCAATGCGAACTTATGGCTCTTGATAGTCACCATCTACATACAGCCAATTGCTCGGAGATGACTCGGAAAGGGGTCAGATGGGAGGAGGCGGAGGGGGGATTTACAAACAAACCTACCCACCGTCCTGTAAACATAAGAGACCGTGTTCTTGTCCACACGGCATCTTCAGTTGCACTTCTTCCTGATGGCATCTCTCCGCAACGAACAAAGACCTCCCCGCCAGGAAGCCCCTTTCCGAAACCTTACAGCATGCTGACTCACCAGCACGGCAAGCGAGTTCGGAGCAATCCCGACGAAGATGAAAATTTGGAATCCAAGGCGGCGAGAATAGATAGCTGTCCTGTCGCATACCAATTCGCTCTCTCATTGTTACAGTAATTACGAATTCAATTCCTCCGCGAAATACAGAGCTCTCGAGATCCAATCCTTCTGCAAAGTAGAGGATTGACCCTGCATTGCCTGTCGGGCGTTTCCGCATACAATACGTAACCGTGGCTCCTCTTGGTCGGGTCTACCCCGCGGTCTCCGCCGTGGCTCCCTACGCACGACTCTCCCTCATATCCAGACACCTGGATCCTCGACCACCACTTCCAATCAACACTCCATTCTCTACCGAACGAGCGTCGAGTATCGAGCCTCCCACGCCACAGCCACGACGATTCAGCTCGAGTTCCCAGAGTTCAGAAAAGTCCAAGATGTCGAGCCAGCCAGAGCACCCCACCTTGCTGATCCCTGGGCCGATCGAATTTGATGATGCCGTTCTCCAGTCTATGAGCCATTTCAGGTACGCAGTCGAGAGTCCCGTCCTCCCCTTCATGATCATGCCTTTGTTTGAATTGAACCTAACGGAAATTACAGTCAGAGTCATGTCGGCGCACCCTTCGTGGCAACCTTTGGGGAGACTCTCACTATGTTGAGAAAGCTCTTCAAAACCACCGATCCTTCCTCTCAGCCGTTTGTGATCTCCGGCTCCGGTACCCTTGGTTGGGATCTGGTTGCTGCGAATTTGGCAGAGCCTGGTGATGATGTCTTGGTCTTGCACAGTGGCTACTTTGCCGACTCCTTCGCCGACTGCTTTGAGACATACGGTGTCAAGGCCACACAACTGAAGGCTCCTATCGGATCAAGACCTCAGCTCCCTGAGATCGAGAAGGCCCTGAAGGAGAAGAAATACAAGCTGCTGACTGTCACTCACGTCGACACCTCCACTGGTGTCCTGAGTGAGCTCAAGTCCCTTTCCGAATTGGTCCACAGAGTCTCCCCTGAGACCCTGATCATCGTGGATGGGGTATGCAGTGTTGGCTGTGAGGATATTGAGTTCGATGAATGGAAGCTGGATGGTGTTATCACCGCCAGCCAAAAGGCCATTGGCGTCCCCGCTGGATTGTCCATCTCGATGTACAGTGGCAGAGCCATCAAGGCCTTCCAAAGCAGAAAGACCCCTCCTGGCTCTTACTTTGCGTCTATGAAGAACTGGCTCCCGAGTAGGTTATGCTTTTTCGATTAGAATGTTTGAATACTGCTAATCGTTTCTCCCAGTTATGCAAAACTACGAGGCCAAGAAGGCTTCCTACTTTGCAACTCCTTCTCCTCAGTTGATCCATGCTCTCCACACCTCCCTGACCCAGATCCTTTCCAGACCCTTGTCTGAGCGCTTTGCCGCGCACCGAGCCACCTCTCTGAAAATCAAGAAGGCCGTTGCTGATCTCGGTCTGAAGCAAGTGGCTTTGGACCCGGCTGATCAGGCGAATGGCATGACTGCCATCTATCTCCCTGAGAACGTCAAGGCTCCAGAGCTTTTGCCAAACCTACTTAAGAAGGGCGTCATTTTCGCTGGGGGTCTGCACAAAGAGATTGCTACCAAGTACATCCGTTTCGGGCATATGGGCGTTAGCGTAGTAAGTAACATTCCAGTTCCTACTCTCGGATGAGTTACTGACTCAACTTTACAGACTGACCCCAAGCGTGATGATATCGATCGTGCGATTAAGGCTCTGGAGGCCGGTTTATCAGATGCAGGTTATCAAAAGGCATAAACAGGGACGGATTTCCACGGTCGTCAAAAAAGAGGTTTTCCTTTAAAAAAAAAAGCGAATTGAGAGACTCTAGCATAGACTCAAAATAGAGATTTCGTAGATATTCCAAGATATCAAAATGTCATAATTGATTGACCCAATTGCGTATGAAGCAGCTCATAGGTTCTCGTCTAAATGGGATCTGGCCTGCTTTGTGACCTCTCGGTGCTTTGATAACTTTGGGTGCTTGATCAGAGTGACGAGCGGTGTGGGCGGAGGAAGCCTAGGTAAGGCATTTTCCGGAGAAAGAAGCTCGTGACATCCCCTTCTCCTGATAACCCCACCGTGGATTTTGCACCATCAGAACAGAAAGCATCAGATAGATACAGATCGAAGGTGCGGGCTTACCCCTCATATTCTTTACTGCGCCTAGCTTTGTGGCCTGAAGCACTACATCCGCGGGCGCCTATTTCATTCCAAAATATGAATCGCTTTTGTACCAGCTTTAAAACCATGGACAATAGACCACTGATAAATCCTCAAGCAGAACCTTTGTGTTGACCAGTGTATCCATATCTGTTGTCGTGGCAAGAACGTCGTTGTTGTCCTCTTCAGTTCGACCTTCAAGACCCCGCCAACCCACTATTACAGCCACAGCCCCCTCCTTGGCCGGTTACTGTATCATCTTCTTCGGAGAGACCGGCCAATGCTACCTCTTTCTGGTCATCCAAAACTTCATAGAATATCAGCAACTGGTGCGATTCAAGAAACACAGAAAAGGGTAGTTGAAAGGAGACAACTCTTCTAAAGATTTCCATCAAAGGTGACGCGCGAATTGCCATCTCGAAAATTTTGATGCCTCACTTTTAAGGAGTGCCATTACTGCCCCACCTCGCCGATTAAGCGGGAAGAGAGAGGCTGATCCGGCTCTCACCTACGGAGTACACCTCTACAACAATCTTCAAGAAATCCCCAGTTCCCTTCGAGATTACTTCTGCACAAGCGCGAGCTGTACGCAAACACAGTTGAGGTGTAGGACGATCTATCGCCGCAAGAAGGATCACACATCTGGAGATTGAACCGCGAGGATGGCTCCAACTATTGAAGAGCTTGACGCGACGGTCCGCGCCTTCTATGAAGGACGAGGGGATACTGTGAGTATTGAAATGATCCTGTATACTCTGTTTTGGTAGTAGAGGATATATACTAACGTATTGGGTAAATAGCAAAAAGCTGCTCAAGCTACACTGAACCAGGTTCGCGCCGACGACGACCAAAAGCCGCTGCACTCAGCTAACATATTGGAATAGTTCAAGGAGGACCCTGATGCATGGTTATTAGTTGACAAGATCCTACAGGATGCTACATACCCGCAGACCAAATGTTTGTCTCTCCCCAGACGTGTGTGCTGGTGGCACAACATGGCTGACAAATTACAGACTTGGGCTTGCAAATACTCGACAACGTTATCATGACCAGGTGGAAGGTTCTTCCAAGGGAACAGTGCCAAGGTAGGTCGACAATGCCTACTGATGATGTGGCATAACCTGACTGTCTCTAGGTATTCGAAACTTCGTTGTCAACTTTATCATACAAAGCTCCAGCTCCGAGGAATCCTTGAAGTCACAACGTACCCTCATTAACAAACTTAATCTTGTCCTTGTATCTATTCTCAAGCAAGAATGGCCACACAACTGGCCCACCTTCATCAACGAGATCATCTCGTCATGCCACACGAGTCTGTCGATATGCGAGAACAACATGTCCATTCTGCGGTTGCTGTCCGAGGAAGTTTTCGACTTTTCAGCAGAGCAGATGACCTCTACCAAGACCAAGAACTTGAAGACAACGATGTGTGCGGAGTTTTCATCCATCTTCCAGCTATGCAGCGAGGTTCTGAACAGCGCCACCCAGGCAAGCCTTATCAAAGCTACGCTCGAGACCCTCCTCCGTTTCTTCAACTGGATCCCGCTTGGCTACATCTTCGAGACTCCTATTATTGATACCCTACGAACCCGGTTCCTGGAGATACCAGAATTTAGAAACGTCACCTTGATGTGCTTGACCGAGATTGGCGGTCTGCAGACTGGGCAGCAAAATGCATACGATGAGAAGCTTGTGCAGATGTTCACTGAGGTTCTGACAACAATCTCTAAAATCATCCCACTTTCCCTGGATCTGAAGACTACTTATAGCTCAAGTAATTCTAGGGACCAGGAGTTCATCCAGAACCTGGCTCTTTTCTTATGTAACTTTTTCAGCGTGCACCTCAGTGTAGGTCTCTCCATCACTATCAAGTCGCATGCTTTCACTAACTTGTATGATAGCTTATTGAAAACCTACCGAACCGAGACTTCCTCACTCATGCGCACTTCTACCTTATCCGAATCTCGCAAATCGACGACAGGGAGATCTTCAAGATCTGCTTAGAATACTGGAATAAGCTCGTTCAGGAGTTGTACGATGAGATGCAGTCCCTGCCAATCACAGATGTTAATCCTCTGATCAATATGGGTGTTGGTGGTCTTGCGAATGCCGGTGCCCCAAATCCAAGTTTACTGGCCAACTACCCTCTCCGAAAGCACAAATACAGCGAGGTACTCTCAAATCTGAGACTGGTCATGATCGAGAAGATGGTCCGGCCAGAAGAAGTGTTGATTGTCGAGAACGATGAGGGTGAAATTGTGAGAGAGTTCGTGAAGGAGAGTGACACTATTCAACTCTACAAGACGACGCGAGAGTGTTTGGTCTACCTTACACATCTTGATGTCGTGGATACCGAGAATATCATGACGGATAAGCTGGCTCGCCAGGTCGATGGAACCGAATGGTCGTGGGCCAACTGCAACACATTATGTTGGGCTATTGGTTCAATCTCCTTGGCAATGAACGAAGAGACCGAGAAACGATTCTTGGTGACGGTCATAAAGGATCTCCTTGGCTTGACCGAGATGAAGCGAGGCAAGGACAACAAAGCTGTGGTTGCCAGTAACATTATGTACATTGTTGGACAATACCCGCGATTCTTGAAGGCGCACTGGAAGTTCCTCAAGACGGTCGTCAACAAGCTTTTCGAGTTCATGCATGAGTCCCACGAGGGTGTGCAGGATATGGCTTGCGATACGTTCATCAAGATTGCTAGACAGTGCAAGAGACACTTCGTTGCTCTGCAGCCGGGTGAAACGGAGCCATTTATCGATGAAATTGTTAGAACAATGCGCAAGATCACATGTGATCTGTCACCCCAGCAAGTCCATACTTTCTATGAAGCTTGTGGTTACATGATAGCTGCACAACCCCAGAAGAATGCTCAGGAGAGACTCATTGGGGAGCTGATGTCCTATCCAAATGCGGCTTGGGATGCCATCATCCAGCAGGCTACTGCCAATCCATCTATTTTGCAAGATGCAGAGACTATCAAGGTCATCGGGAATGTGATGAAGACAAATGTTTCTGCCTGTATCTCGATTGGAAGCTACTTCTATCCTCAAATCGGTAGGATCTACCTGGACATGCTGTCCATGTACCGTGCCACCAGCCAAATGATCTCTGAAGCAGTCGCCAGAGATGGTAAGATCTCTCATATTATCTTACAATCCACGCAAGTACTGACAAAAGTTAGGCGATATCGCGACCAAGATGCCGAAAGTTCGAGGATTAAGAACTATCAAGAAAGAGATTCTCAAGCTCATCGAGACCTACGTGGAGAAAGCCGACGATCTTGAGATGGTCCGCACCAACATCGTACCTGCTCTTCTGGATGCTATCCTGGTCGATTACAACCGGAATGTGCCCAATGCTCGAGATGCTGAGGTTCTGAAGGTCATGTCGACCGTCATAACTAAGCTTTCTGTACGTTGGACCCCTCATCGCTCGAAATATTCAGTAGTGCAACCCTTATTTTATTCTACAACTTTCTTATGGAGAAATGCACGTCTCCTTGTCTAGAAAGCGTTACTGACTTTAAGTTCTAGGCTCTTATGGAGGACCAAGTTCCCATTATCATGGAGAATGTGTTTGAATGCACATTGGAAATGATTAACAAGGACTTCTCCGAATTTCCAGAACATCGAGTGGGATTCTTCACCCTCCTTCGTGCCATCAATCTCCACTGCTTCCCTGGTATGTTACTTGTCTTCCTGTGGGTCTTCATTGACTAATATGGATACAGCCCTTCTCAAGTTGGACAACCGACAATTCAAGTTTGTCATTGACTCTTGCATGTGGGCAAGCAAGCATGATAACCGCGAGGTTGAATATGCCGGTCTCAATATGTGTCTCGAATTAATCACTAACATTGCGGAAACCGATCCCGCAACATCGAGTGCATTCTTCATGCAGTTCTACATGCCTATCCTGCAAGATGTCTTCTTCGTACTTACCGATACAGACCACAAGGCCGGCTTCAAAGCACAATCCATGCTGCTATCGAGAATGTTCTACTTCGTCTCCCCTGCTGATGGCACGCAGCCGAAGATTCAGGGGCCGATCTATACTCCAGATCAGGCACCTATGGGGACGAGCAACAAGGAATTCTTGGGTGGCTTCGTTGCAAACCTGCTACAGAACGCTTTCCCCAACCTCCAACCGTACGTCATTCTTGGTGTTTTTGAACTGTTCCCGGCTAACATTATATAGTGCTCAAATCAAGGCTTTCGTTGAGGGCCTCTTTACCCTGAATGCCACCTACGATAGATTCAAGCTGAACCTCCGTGATTTCCTCATCCAACTGAAGGAGTTCGCCGGCGACAATGCTGAGTTGTATGCTGACGAGAAGGAGCAACAAGAACGGGATGCGAAGGCGGCTGAGCGAGAACGTCTATCGAAGGTCGGAGGTCTTCTCAAACCCGCTGAGCTTGAAGACGATGACGAGCTATGACTGGACGAAGAGCTGAGGTCCGAATATGCGGAAGTTGCAGCACAAGATCTACCCACGAAAGTCGACCGTCGCCGTCCCAACACCCTCAACGCCCTGGATGGTTGGGACATGTACGATCTTTGATACCTTAAGCCAGCCATCATCTGCAAGTTTCGTTGCCCAAGCCCTGGATAATATGAATTTTCACGTTTGCTCTCGAGTATTTCCACGGGGTTGATATGGCATGCCCACTGGCGTTTCTACTAGCCAGGCCGGAGTTAGGATTCGCGGGGAATCAAGATTGATTTTCTTTTGTTGCGTCTGAAAAAGTTTGTTCCCGTTCTTCCTTCCTATCTCTAGATCTTGTTTCTCCACTCCTGTCGCCTGCGGTACATAAATCGCGTCTGCAGAGAGGCGTCTAAGTAATCTGATACCTCTCTTCTTCTTCTACTACTACCTGGCGGAGAGGCGGGGGGGGTGGGAGGTAAACATCGGGCGTGCGAGGCATTGAAGCTTCGGCACGCAAGTTAATGGAACGCATGAGATACGAGATGATGGCTATCGTGTATGTAGTTGTAGCGAGGCATTCCGTACTACTCAATAATTAAATGGCATGTCCGCGATCTGCCCTTTTGTCCGATGTATTTGTGTCCGTGTATGTTATGTCGTGAACTTTAATGAAATCCTAGAGAAAACAAGACAACCTCGTTTGTTCTCCGTTGAATTCCCGGGTATAGCTTTTCTATTATAGTACTCATTCCTTTCTCTTTCTCTATTGGATATCCTACGTACCTAGATATTTGGTACTACTCGTATGTATGAGGGTCCCCATCTCCTCTCCTCTCCTCCCCCCCCCCCCTTTTTTTTTGTTTTTAGATACCTACCTATTTATCACCACCACCCCCCCCCTCCTTCTCTCCACTCCACTCAACTCAACTCTCTATAAAACTCATGAACATCTATCTATCTTAGTTCATACATATGAATAGGAATAGGTAGATATTGAAAGGTCTGTGGATCGTTGTAATCCACTATGTCTATAGTATGTTTATTTATATTTCTTTCTCTTTGTGTGCCCCCC